CTCGAAATGTGGAATTTTGAGATGGGATGGTTTGATGAAAAAATTCATTGGTCACCCTTTCTTATCTGGTTTTGTTTGGGCACCATGGGAGAAATTTGCGGCTGGTTGCTTAGGTACGGTGTCACTAAGCAATTTGTGCTTGTGCTTGCATGTCTCAAACGGGCTCAAGACAAACGCAAACGAAAACGAATCATCAAACGCTTGAAAAACAAACGCTCAGTGAAAAAATGCAGTGATCTCAAACGCTGTCAGAAGTTGTTGAAACCACATGTTGCATGTGCTGCTAGAAAATGCAGCACGCACAGACTCGGAAAAGCACGCCTGAAACACAGACGATGTGCTTTGAAGCTTCGGATGAGATGGACATATGTTCGAACCAATGGCATGGATGTTTCCCTGTCATACTCTTTCCTCTATTCGGGTTTTCCGAGACCCGAAGAATGGCCACTTGGATATGATGCACTGAGCTGGTACAAGCCTGATGCGAACAATTGCATTTTTGCCTCTGAGTGGTTGCAAGGTGGATATAAACGAAGGACGCAAAGGAAAAAGAATTACAGTGACAATGACAACGCCGCGGTTAGGAGTTTGATCCAAGGTTTGAAGGTATGTCTTAACCAAGGTTCTTTTCCGAAAGAGTTTGAATCCGTGATGTCCTTGTTAGGTCAAGTGGTCGGTCAAAATTCACCCAAAAAGATGTTTAAGAAAAAGAAAACGGTGAAACAGGAGCCCAAACCTGACCCGTCTAGACAAGAGCAGCTGCGGGACAACAAAGATGAAGACTACACCATTCTTGAGACAGGATGGTGGAAAATGAATGGTGCGTGGAAACAGTATTGCAGAGACCCACAAACAGGATGGTGGTGGTGGGACAAGCGTGGTGACAAAGTTACCACAGTGGACCACAACCCCAGACATAATGAAAAGAAACAAGACACTGAGGTTCACAAACCTCAACAGAATACTCCAAACCTTGCCAAGGTGCGAGCTCTCAACCCAGTTGAATGGAACAAGCCAATCAAACTTGTGGATGCGCAAACAGTTTGCCAGGCCATTAAGGAAGGAAAAGACTGGGATGGAAATATTTGCTGCAGTCATGACAGACAGGTCACCCAAGAACTTCGTGACTTGTACACAAGCTTTGGTTTCACGAAAGGACTCACTTTGGTTTTGTCAGCTGATGCAATGAATCAGCTTGGCATCACACTGAGCAGGACCAGGCTTCAAAGGACAAACCAACATGCCAAGGTCGAAGACATTGCCTTGCTCGGTTTAGGCTCTGACTACCCTTGGAGAACTCACCCTGTTAAAGTTGATCCCAACAATGTTACTACGGTTGAAAGGGAATTGGTCAGAATTGTCGTTCCCTCTCACTATAGAGAACTCTTTGTATCTGAACCCCAAAAGGAACGTGTCGTTGATGTCATTTCCGACTTGGCCACTTTTGGATGTCGTGCACATGTCCTCACAGGTGGCAGGTGGGAAAGACAGGAATGGCAGAAACAAAGTTCAAGTTTGGTAGGATGGCTTAAGCTCACCAAAAAAGATGCGGAAACCCTCCTGGAAAAATCAGGGAAAAAAGGTATTTTTATCAATAAGAATATTGATACCTCTAAGGAACGTCCGCATTTTGTGTGGACCAAACACGAAAAAGATGAAACCGATGAAGCATACTACCAGAGATGCCTTCGTCTTTCAGGCGAGAGAGGCCAGCCGATGTGCTTACGGAAAGGGTTGGGAAATGACATTGGTTTCACAAAGAAATCAGATGAAGACATCGAAAAGAAACCCAAACGAATTCAGATTTCTGGAGTTCCCAGGGACTGGATGGCGGAAGAACTGGTTGATTTCCTCAAACAACAAGGATGGACCCAAATGACTATTCACAATAGAAGAAGGGTCAACAAGAAAATTTTTTGGAACGCCTGTGGAATGCCTCCTGTTGCATACCCATACGACCAGGGTCTTTGGGTGTATGAAGGTGCCACTGTGTTTACCATAATAGTCAACGACTCGGTCCATAAACCTGCAGCGCCAAACAGCACCACTGCAGTCAGAGGACCAAGGAAGACATGGGATGAAATTAAGGATCAGCCTCCACAGACGGCCAACACGCGGGGGCGCCCCGCGAAGAGGCAGGCCAAAGAACCCGATGAGCGACATCGGTCCAGATCTGCCGCTGAGAAGCCCGAAAAGGGCGATGAAAATAAGGACCAATGGAAGTCGAAAAAACGCAGTTGGACTCTCAGACTCAGCCTGAAGCGATTGACAAGCAGAGTTCAAAGCCAACCTCGCAGTCTCTTGGTAATTTGACGGATGCCTTAACCCAAAACTGGACGCTGGCCGATCAAGGTGGATGCGGTGACTGTGGGTACCGGGCATTAATAGACAACTTTCATTATCAAACCACTGGTGAGACTCTTTCCAAAGAAGAATGCATCAAAAATGCCAATCTATTTCGTACGGAAGTGGTACGACATGTTCGCAAACATCAAGATAGGTACGAAAACCATGTCAGAGGTGGGAAAGAGGCCTTTCCTGCCTTTTGTGACAATGCGTTGAAGCAAACTCACTGGATATGTGGACTGCTGCTGCAAGCAGCAGCAGAGGTGAAATCATGCTGCATAGTGGTGTGGAATCAAAAAGATGAAGTTCTGGAAAGATTCACTTTCGCTCCTGAGTGGAGTCCACAGGGGATGCCCAGAATGAAAAAAGAAGCACCAATCCTGGTGGTGTACAGAAACGACAAACATTATCAATCCGTCCGACCACCCCAGGATCAGGACGGCATGACTAAGGTGCCCAAACACTGGGCGCGAGAGACAGCCAAACCCGAGGCCGAAGCACTTGGAGGCGCTGGACCAAGCGTTGGAGAATCGCCTAAAACCCTGCACACGCTCTCCCCTGGCTCTTCCCATGCTCCTTCGCTCCATACTCTCCCCGCCTCCTCCTTTCGCGGATCCTCGGGTGGGGGTGTGATGATCACGCGCGCGCCGTCCCTGCACTCCTTGGTTCCTTCCGCGTCTTCTCCTCCGCGTCTGCGCGCGGTTGTGCACGGCCATGCGGCGGGTGGTGGTTCTTCGGGTGCCCTTGCGCGACCCCATCCTCCGCGCTCCCCCTCTCTTCTTACCTTGGCTGCCTCCCCTCACTCCTGCGAACCTCCGCGTGCTGCCATCAAATCCCAGCAGTTGCAGCATCCGAGTGAAACGGTTGCAAGACCATTCAAAAGATGCAGGTTCAAGCAAAGCAGTTGTGACTCAAGGATTGAAGACATGAAGTTTCTTGCACCCTCTGAGAACGATAAAGCTTCGGTTTTATCTTTAACCTCAGAAACTCACCTCAATTTGACAGACAACCTGACCAAGGACCGGTCGGGTACTAAGGACAAAGGCGCAGTCAAAAATGACAACACAGAATGCGACTTTCGCCCTGACACTGCTCCATATCCTCGACACCTCAAGCGGCTGGATGCTAAGACGCTTGCCAAACCGCAAGGACCTCAGGTATGGGTTTGTCCGCTGCCTGACTGCCGGCATGAAATCAGAATTCCTGCAGGTTTGCAAGCGAGAGCCAAGCTTCAAGCTGCAAAAAGTTCACACCTGAAAAATAGACATACAGATTCCGAAAGAGCTGAATGCCCGCGACTCGGTGCTCAAACTCAGATCACAGTCCCGACCTCGGAACTTCCTGAAAGTGGCAGAGCCTGGAGTTGCCCAGAATGCGGGAAAGGACTCCCACTGTTGCCAAAAGTTTGGCACGAAGCTAGTGTCCGCAAACATTTTGCCGAGGCACACCCTGACACAAATCCAACTCAGGCGTACAGGAAGAAACAAAGAACTGACAAAGGCCTTCGAGCTCGTATGAAACTGCGAGGCAGACATATAGGTCAGCTCAAACAACAGAAGGTCGCTGACAACCTGAAAGTTTGGGCTCCGCAAACGGGGCATGATGTTCGCCAAATTCTTCTCAAACATAACCCCAAAGAAGAGAGACGCAAACTTGATTTGACGTCCGTGCTTGTTTGTGCCAAATGCAGACGAAAAGGGACACCATGTAGATTCAAAACCACCGCATGCACTGATGAAACTCAACCTATCCCGACTCAATTGCTGGGTTGGATCCGAAACATGGCTTTGCGACACCCTGCGAACCAAGGTGCCATCAGAAACGGACTTGGTATGACTGAAGCCGAGGTTGCAAATGCAAACTTCCAAACCAAAAAAAGAGTCAACGGTAAAGGGCCAGCCAAGTGGCTTAGCGGTCCGTTTGCCACCACTTTTCAGGCGGCGCAAGCTGCAGGGCACTTAGTTACTGAGGTCCTTCCGCCGGATGCCATGCGCCACCCGGACTCCACTGCTAAAAAGTTTCCCAAGGGATACCTGACCTGTAAAATTTGCCACAAGGTTAATCCACTTGGTGCTGTCAAAATCTGGACGAATCCATGCCTGGGACATGATCCCACCTCCAAAGGTTTCCAGTCTCAGAAAAGATATTGGCAGTCTTTAACTAAAACCCAAAAAAAAGCCCTCAGTCAAGCATGGGGGAAGACTCTGCAGCAGGGGGAGGAGCTTTTTGCCTCCCAATCCTCCAACAAGCGCAGCCGTAGAGCCAAAGAACATGACCATAATGATAAGGTTGCTGTGAGAATTGGTGAAGCGTCCCATCCAGGACCAAGATCACGAAAATTGCGCAACTTGGATCAACATGTGTCAGTTTGGACATGCAACACTCAAGGACCCAAACAATCGTGGACCTTACAACAGCTGCTCCAAACCCAGGAGCAGGCACCTCAGATTGTGCTGCTTCAGGAATGCTCTTTTAGCCAGGCTGAATGGACCACATTTCAAAAAACTTGTTGGTCTGTGGGGTACAGAAGTTTTTTCTCCGGTGCGCAAAGCACCGTCAATCGACACTACGGAGGAGCTGCAGTCTTGGTTAAATCTTCACTACCTTGTAGACCGGCCTGGTCACACACTCACAAAGGAGGTAGTGCCCAAGCTGTGTGGGTGGGATCAACTCTGGTCATCTCCACTTACCTGGCTCCTAACAGTGATGCAGAAACCGTGAGTGCAGCTGTGGCTCAAACTGTCCACTCTCTCGCTCCAAGACATCGTTTTATTTTGGGGGGGGATTACAATGCCACACCCGAAGAGAATCCCTTTCTTCATTTCTTGATTCCTAGGGAATTTCGTATTCATGCCACTCAAACCCCAACGCGGTGGCAAGGAAACCGCGATATTGACTACTATATCAGTAACCTTGAGCCCACTGAGGTCGAAACGCTTCCTGATGTTGTAGCCGACCACAAAATTGTCAAAACTTTTTTCGATTTATCTACCGAACCTGTTTTAGGTTTCCAACAAGCCAACATTCCTAGAATCCTCCCGAAGGACCCGGAAGTTGCTGAACGAATCCAAATCAAATTGGCTCAGCTCTGGCCGCAGTTTTCCACACAACTTCCAGAGCGATGGTCAGTCAATGTTGACCAGGACTGGCAGATGCTTTCGCAAACTTTTTTCAAGCCCTAGTTTGTGCAGTCAGGGCTGCTGCCCCTGACATGCTGCAGCGAGTGTCTCCGGCCTTACTGAGGAAAGGAAAGGCCACTGAGGTCTCTCTAAACAGAAAGAACACATGAAACGACATCCTGCTGGAGCTATGGCTACTCACCGCCAAAGAGTTCTGCGCAGATTGATTGGAAGGTTGCGGGAAGCCCAGCGAAACTTGGATCAAGACAGGCAAAATATCACTGAAAGCCGAGTTCTCTGGAATAAAATCAGACGGTGTTCTATGTACAACCATGATTGGGGTATACAAAGAAACCTTCGGCATCTTGAAACGCTTTTGGAACGGTTCAATCATGAAGATGACTACACCAGACTTCAACGATGGAGAAACAACATGGAACATGACAAGGCTGCATACAGGTGGCTGCGACATAGATCTGTTCCCATGTGCAATGCGGTTAAGAAAACCAAAGACTCTGTTCCTAGTCACTCCACCCAAGACAGCCTGAGGATTCTCAGGGAATTTTGGGCCGATATTTGGAATAGACGTCAAATCTCTTGGGATGATATTTGGGATGATTTGGTTACTCACACTCCACCACGCCCTGCTCCTGACAGCTGGCCAAGCCTCACACCGGAACAACTCCGTTCTGCCACCAAGTGTAGCCGCGGCAGTGCGCCGGGGCTTGACGGCTGGAGAGCTGAGGAACTTAGTTTGTTCAGTGACGAAATGTGGCAGGTCATGTCCGGGTTCTATGATCATTGTGAAGAGCTCGGAAACATTCCTACCATATGGCGATGTGTTCGCCAAGTGCATATCCCGAAAGGGAAACCACCTGAAGCTGACGGCAGCATGCTGGCGGACAACATGCGTCCCATAGCTGTGATGTCGATAATCTGGCGAATCTGCAGCCGAGCCAGATTCAAACAAACTGAGGTTCAGGAATGGATCCACACATCCACCCCCGAATTCATGTTTGGGGGAATTCCCCAAAAAGGTGTTGAGGATGCTATCTCTCACATAATCCTCAAAGACATGCATAGCTGGCCGGTTGGTACACTTGACCTGACAAAAGCTTTCGATTATTCTGACCCTGAGATAATCTGCAAACTCTTTGTCCACCAAGGTATGCCGCGCAAAGCTGCACGCATGTTGTTAAGCATGTGGAGCGAACAAATCCGTTTTCTTCAGCTCCATGACGAATTTTTCCCAAACAACCATGTTGTCAAGCGCTCCCTGCCGCAAGGTGACTGCTTTAGCATGTTAGGCATGTGTGTTTTGCTTACTCCCATTGCCAATCACATTCAGAGAAAATACCCTTGTTGCGTTCAAGCTTTATATGCCGATGATCGTTCTTTCACTTGTTCCACTGCGACTGAAATATGGCAAGTTCGAAATGAATGGCATGTTTGGAGCAATAAGGTTGGTCTTCAAGAAAACCCCACCAAAGAGCAATATTACCACCGCAACGTTCAAGGTTGCCGATCTCTCGAGGATGCCGGCTGTCCTCCAGAAACAGTTTCCACTTCCATCACCTTGTTGGGATTCCAGTTCATGGGAGTGACCCAAAGAAAAGCCAAAGACCGAGAACTGACAAGACTCACTGAGGCCAAAGAAGTTCTTCGAAAATGTAGGTGCCTCCCAGGTTCCAAAACACGTAAAGCTGCAGTTGCCAGGGTTTGTGCCCCAGCAAAAGCAAGTTGGGGATGGCTGTTTCGAAGACCCACTCATGCTGAAAGCAACGCTTTCTTTCAGGGAGCAAAAGCGCTGCATCAGTGGCCAAAGCAGTCAGCCGTACCTTTACTCCAAATTTTTACTGGCCATTGGTGGGACTTAGGTTTTGCTGCCACGGTTACGACTCTCCGAGTCCTCACCCGCTATGTTCACAAAACACAGATGCAGTTGCAAAACTGGCCACCCAAAATGAGTGGCTGGACGGGTAGCTTTAGAAAAGGCATGCAAGAACTTGGGTTCGCTGAGGCTGGTAGTTGGACCTGGACGCACCCGATGCTTGAAACTATTCAGATTCAACCAACCACGCTGCCTGAAAAGGCGACCGAAGTGCTGTCACATAGGCTCAGAGATGCTTGGCGAATCAGAAAATATGAGGAATTCTTGGAACTTGACCGACGCGACTCAACGGTTTGTGCAGACATTCCATGTGACCTGACCCGCATTAATATTCTGCGCAAGAAAAAACTCAACAGTCACGAACTGGCTGTTGTAACTGGTGCTTTCATTTCACCTCAATGTCGAAATGCCATGGGAGGTGCTGAAGAAACATGCCCTTATTGCCAACATGTTTGTGCCACTGTGCAGCACATGCTTTGGGAATGTACTCAGAACCCACACCGTGATCCTACTATTAGACCCCACGATGTGCTGCAGGAAAGACTCGCATGGCCCACTACTGATCCTACTAAGGTGGACCATGACAACAAACTTCTAAGGTTTGCAGCTGCAACACGTGCTGATGTGTTGCAGCAGCGCCACGACGACTAGAACCACCTCCATTCTATTCTGGCGATCGCCTCTGGCCTGCGCTGCGGCTGCGGGCAAGTGCGGGCAGCGTCATTGTCTACATCATCATCCAGATTTCAGGTTAGCAGCTTCTCCTGCGCCTCCAGCCACAGCAGAGTGGCACGGTCGCTGCGGGCTCGTCACGGGTGCCAGGCAGGAGAGAAAATTAACGTGGCATGGCCCACGTTTGTTGCAGAAGAATTTGAAAAGAAAAATACAAAAGAAAAAGAAAAAGAACAAAAGTCAAAAAAGGAAGACAAAAAGAACCAATTCAAGAATTTGAATGTGCATTGCACGAAGAGAGCGATTTTTCAAATCGCCAAAAAAGACAAGAGCCATAAGGCCAATCCTAGGATGATGGCTGGCTGGCTGCTGATGCTTTGCTGGTCTGTGCCTTGCTGTGCTGCATTTGACACCAACAAGGACCTGGCCGCCAACCATGACGTCAATTACACCGGCCGCCCTGGATTGATTGTGGAAAATGCCACAACTCAGTCTAACGGCCCCCCAGAGATGACCCGCAACGGGAAAAAATGGCAGCTGACAATCGATGTGCCTCGCAGCGGGCGGCAGATTGCAGATGCGCTGAGCGAATATGGCTCCGTGGATGTGGAAGCTGGTTTCAGACTTTTGACGGAAGTAAGTGCAACTACTTTCGATATCCACCCCTACGGTTCTGGTTCTGACCCCTCAAAACGTAAATTCCCTGGGATCCTCAATGTGATTTTGGATTTGGTCGCTAGGTGTCACCATGGGAAGTTTGGATTTTACCCTCTGAATTTTGTTTCCTCCAAAATGTGGAATTTGGGTTTGGAATGGTGGAAAATTGGGTTTCGCCCCTGGGAATCTTTTCCCCTCGAAATGTGGAATTTTGAGATGGGATGGTTTGATGAAAAAATTCATTGGTCACCCTTTCTTATCTGGTTTTGTTTGGGCACCATGGGAGAAATTTGCGGCTGGTTGCTTAGGTACGGTGTCACTAAGCAATTTGTGCTTGCATGTCTCAAACGGGCTCAAGACAAACGCAAACGAAAACGAATCATCAAACGCTTGAAAAACAAACGCTCAGTGAAAAAATGCAGTGATCTCAAACGCTGTCAGAAGTTGTTGAAACCACATGTTGCATGTGCTGCTAGAAAATGCAGCACGCACAGACTCGGAAAAGCACGCCTGAAACACAGACGATGTGCTTTGAAGCTTCGGATGAGATGGACATATGTTCGAACCAATGGCATGGATGTTTCCCTGTCATACTCTTTCCTCTATTCGGGTTTTCCGAGACCCGAAGAATGGCCACTTGGATATGATGCACTGAGCTGGTACAAGCCTGATGCGAACAATTGCATTTTTGCCTCTGAGTGGTTGCAAGGTGGATATAAACGAAGGACGCAAAGGAAAAAGAATTACAGTGACAATGACAACGCCGCGGTTAGGAGTTTGATCCAAGGTTTGAAGGTATGTCTTAACCAAGGTTCTTTTCCGAAAGAGTTTGAATCCGTGATGTCCTTGTTAGGTCAAGTGGTCGGTCAAAATTCACCCAAAAAGATGTTTAAGAAAAAGAAAACGGTGAAACAGGAGCCCAAACCTGACCCGTCTAGACAAGAGCAGCTGCGGGACAACAAAGATGAAGACTACACCATTCTTGAGACAGGATGGTGGAAAATGAATGGTGCGTGGAAACAGTATTGCAGAGACCCACAAACAGGATGGTGGTGGTGGGACAAGCGTGGTGACAAAGTTACCACAGTGGACCACAACCCCAGACATAATGAAAAGAAACAAGACACTGAGGTTCACAAACCTCAACAGAATACTCCAAACCTTGCCAAGGTGCGAGCTCTCAACCCAGTTGAATGGAACAAGCCAATCAAACTTGTGGATGCGCAAACAGTTTGCCAGGCCATTAAGGAAGGAAAAGACTGGGATGGAAATATTTGCTGCAGTCATGACAGACAGGTCACCCAAGAACTTCGTGACTTGTACACAAGCTTTGGTTTCACGAAAGGACTCACTTTGGTTTTGTCAGCTGATGCAATGAATCAGCTTGGCATCACACTGAGCAGGACCAGGCTTCAAAGGACAAACCAACATGCCAAGGTCGAAGACATTGCCTTGCTCGGTTTAGGCTCTGACTACCCTTGGAGAACTCACCCTGTTAAAGTTGATCCCAACAATGTTACTACGGTTGAAAGGGAATTGGTCAGAATTGTCGTTCCCTCTCACTATAGAGAACTCTTTGTATCTGAACCCCAAAAGGAACGTGTCGTTGATGTCATTTCCGACTTGGCCACTTTTGGATGTCGTGCACATGTCCTCACAGGTGGCAGGTGGGAAAGACAGGAATGGCAGAAACAAAGTTCAAGTTTGGTAGGATGGCTTAAGCTCACCAAAAAAGATGCGGAAACCCTCCTGGAAAAATCAGGGAAAAAAGGTATTTTTATCAATAAGAATATTGATACCTCTAAGGAACGTCCGCATTTTGTGTGGACCAAACACGAAAAAGATGAAACCGATGAAGCATACTACCAGAGATGCCTTCGTCTTTCAGGCGAGAGAGGCCAGCCGATGTGCTTACGGAAAGGGTTGGGAAATGACATTGGTTTCACAAAGAAATCAGATGAAGACATCGAAAAGAAACCCAAACGAATTCAGATTTCTGGAGTTCCCAGGGACTGGATGGCGGAAGAACTGGTTGATTTCCTCAAACAACAAGGATGGACCCAAATGACTATTCACAATAGAAGAAGGGTCAACAAGAAAATTTTTTGGAACGCCTGTGGAATGCCTCCTGTTGCATACCCATACGACCAGGGTCTTTGGGTGTATGAAGGTGCCACTGTGTTTACCATAATAGTCAACGACTCGGTCCATAAACCTGCAGCGCCAAACAGCACCACTGCAGTCAGAGGACCAAGGAAGACATGGGATGAAATTAAGGATCAGCCTCCACAGACGGCCAACACGCGGGGGCGCCCCGCGAAGAGGCAGGCCAAAGAACCCGATGAGCGACATCGGTCCAGATCTGCCGCTGAGAAGCCCGAAAAGGGCGATGAAAATAAGGACCCAATGGAAGTCGAAAAAACGCAGTTGGACTCTCAGACTCAGCCTGAAGCGATTGACAAGCAGAGTTCAAAGCCAACCTCGCAGTCTCTTGGTAATTTGACGGATGCCTTAACCCAAAACTGGACGCTGGCCGATCAAGGTGGATGCGGTGACTGTGGGTACCGGGCATTAATAGACAACTTTCATTATCAAACCACTGGTGAGACTCTTTCCAAAGAAGAATGCATCAAAAATGCCAATCTATTTCGTACGGAAGTGGTACGACATGTTCGCAAACATCAAGATAGGTACGAAAACCATGTCAGAGGTGGGAAAGAGGCCTTTCCTGCCTTTTGTGACAATGCGTTGAAGCAAACTCACTGGATATGTGGACTGCTGCTGCAAGCAGCAGCAGAGGTGAAATCATGCTGCATAGTGGTGTGGAATCAAAAAGATGAAGTTCTGGAAAGATTCACTTTCGCTCCTGAGTGGAGTCCACAGGGGATGCCCAGAATGAAAAAAGAAGCACCAATCCTGGTGGTGTACAGAAACGACAAACATTATCAATCCGTCCGACCACCCCAGGATCAGGACGGCATGACTAAGGTGCCCAAACACTGGGCGCGAGAGACAGCCAAACCCGAGGCCGAAGCACTTGGAGGCGCTGGACCAAGCGTTGGAGAATCGCCTAAAACCCTGCACACGCTCTCCCCTGGCTCTTCCCATGCTCCTTCGCTCCATACTCTCCCCGCCTCCTCCTTTCGCGGATCCTCGGGTGGGGGTGTGATGATCACGCGCGCGCCGTCCCTGCACTCCTTGGTTCCTTCCGCGTCTTCTCCTCCGCGTCTGCGCGCGGTTGTGCACGGCCATGCGGCGGGTGGTGGTTCTTCGGGTGCCCTTGCGCGACCCCATCCTCCGCGCTCCCCCTCTCTTCTTACCTTGGCTGCCTCCCCTCACTCCTGCGAACCTCCGCGTGCTGCCATCAAATCCCAGCAGTTGCAGCATCCGAGTGAAACGGTTGCAAGACCATTCAAAAGATGCAGGTTCAAGCAAAGCAGTTGTGACTCAAGGATTGAAGACATGAAGTTTCTTGCACCCTCTGAGAACGATAAAGCTTCGGTTTTATCTTTAACCTCAGAAACTCACCTCAATTTGACAGACAACCTGACCAAGGACCGGTCGGGTACTAAGGACAAAGGCGCAGTCAAAAATGACAACACAGAATGCGACTTTCGCCCTGACACTGCTCCATATCCTCGACACCTCAAGCGGCTGGATGCTAAGACGCTTGCCAAACCGCAAGGACCTCAGGTATGGGTTTGTCCGCTGCCTGACTGCCGGCATGAAATCAGAATTCCTGCAGGTTTGCAAGCGAGAGCCAAGCTTCAAGCTGCAAAAAGTTCACACCTGAAAAATAGACATACAGATTCCGAAAGAGCTGAATGCCCGCGACTCGGTGCTCAAACTCAGATCACAGTCCCGACCTCGGAACTTCCTGAAAGTGGCAGAGCCTGGAGTTGCCCAGAATGCGGGAAAGGACTCCCACTGTTGCCAAAAGTTTGGCACGAAGCTAGTGTCCGCAAACATTTTGCCGAGGCACACCCTGACACAAATCCAACTCAGGCGTACAGGAAGAAACAAAGAACTGACAAAGGCCTTCGAGCTCGTATGAAACTGCGAGGCAGACATATAGGTCAGCTCAAACAACAGAAGGTCGCTGACAACCTGAAAGTTTGGGCTCCGCAAACGGGGCATGATGTTCGCCAAATTCTTCTCAAACATAACCCCAAAGAAGAGAGACGCAAACTTGATTTGACGTCCGTGCTTGTTTGTGCCAAATGCAGACGAAAAGGGACACCATGTAGATTCAAAACCACCGCATGCACTGATGAAACTCAACCTATCCCGACTCAATTGCTGGGTTGGATCCGAAACATGGCTTTGCGACACCCTGCGAACCAAGGTGCCATCAGAAACGGACTTGGTATGACTGAAGCCGAGGTTGCAAATGCAAACTTCCAAACCAAAAAAAGAGTCAACGGTAAAGGGCCAGCCAAGTGGCTTAGCGGTCCGTTTGCCACCACTTTTCAGGCGGCGCAAGCTGCAGGGCACTTAGTTACTGAGGTCCTTCCGCCGGATGCCATGCGCCACCCGGACTCCACTGCTAAAAAGTTTCCCAAGGGATACCTGACCTGTAAAATTTGCCACAAGGTTAATCCACTTGGTGCTGTCAAAATCTGGACGAATCCATGCCTGGGACATGATCCCACCTCCAAAGGTTTCCAGTCTCAGAAAAGATATTGGCAGTCTTTAACTAAAACCCAAAAAAAAGCCCTCAGTCAAGCATGGGGGAAGACTCTGCAGCAGGGGGAGGAGCTTTTTGCCTCCCAATCCTCCAACAAGCGCAGCCGTAGAGCCAAAGAACATGACCATAATGATAAGGTTGCTGTGAGAATTGGTGAAGCGTCCCATCCAGGACCAAGATCACGAAAATTGCGCAACTTGGATCAACATGTGTCAGTTTGGACATGCAACACTCAAGGACCCAAACAATCGTGGACCTTACAACAGCTGCTCCAAACCCAGGAGCAGGCACCTCAGATTGTGCTGCTTCAGGAATGCTCTTTTAGCCAGGCTGAATGGACCACATTTCAAAAAACTTGTTGGTCTGTGGGGTACAGAAGTTTTTTCTCCGGTGCGCAAAGCACCGTCAATCGACACTACGGAGGAGCTGCAGTCTTGGTTAAATCTTCACTACCTTGTAGACCGGCCTGGTCACACACTCACAAAGGAGGTAGTGCCCAAGCTGTGTGGGTGGGATCAACTCTGGTCATCTCCACTTACCTGGCTCCTAACAGTGATGCAGAAACCGTGAGTGCAGCTGTGGCTCAAACTGTCCACTCTCTCGCTCCAAGACATCGTTTTATTTTGGGGGGGGATTACAATGCCACACCCGAAGAGAATCCCTTTCTTCATTTCTTGATTCCTAGGGAATTTCGTATTCATGCCACTCAAACCCCAACGCGGTGGCAAGGAAACCGCGATATTGACTACTATATCAGTAACCTTGAGCCCACTGAGGTCGAAACGCTTCCTGATGTTGTAGCCGACCACAAAATTGTCAAAACTTTTTTCGATTTATCTACCGAACCTGTTTTAGGTTTCCAACAAGCCAACATTCCTAGAATCCTCCCGAAGGACCCGGAAGTTGCTGAACGAATCCAAATCAAATTGGCTCAGCTCTGGCCGCAGTTTTCCACACAACTTCCAGAGCGATGGTCAGTCAATGTTGACCAGGACTGGCAGATGCTTTCGCAAACTTTTTTTCAAGCCCTAGTTTGTGCAGTCAGGGCTGCTGCCCCTGACATGCTGCAGCGAGTGTCTCCGGCCTTACTGAGGAAAGGAAAGGCCACTGAGGTCTCTCTTAAACAGAAAGAACACATGAAACGACATCCTGCTGGAGCTATGGCTACTCACCGCCAAAGAGTTCTGCGCAGATTGATTGGAAGGTTGCGGGAAGCCCAGCGAAACTTGGATCAAGACAGGCAAAATATCACTGAAAGCCGAGTTCTCTGGAATAAAATCAGACGGTGTTCTATGTACAACCATGATTGGGGTATACAAAGAAACCTTCGGCATCTTGAAACGCTTTTGGAACGGTTCAATCATGAAGATGACTACACCAGACTTCAACGATGGAGAAACAACATGGAACATGACAAGGCTGCATACAGGTGGCTGCGACATAGATCTGTTCCCATGTGCAATGCGGTTAAGAAAACCAAAGACTCTGTTCCTAGTCACTCCACCCAAGACAGCCTGAGGATTCTCAGGGAATTTTGGGCCGATATTTGGAATAGACGTCAAATCTCTTGGGATGATATTTGGGATGATTTGGTTACTCACACTCCACCACGCCCTGCTCCTGACAGCTGGCCAAGCCTCACACCGGAACAACTCCGTTCTGCCACCAAGTGTAGCCGCGGCAGTGCGCCGGGGCTTGACGGCTGGAGAGCTGAGGAACTTAGTTTGTTCAGTGACGAAATGTGGCAGGTCATGTCCGGGTTCTATGATCATTGTGAAGAGCTCGGAAACATTCCTACCATATGGCGATGTGTTCGCCAAGTGCATATCCCGAAAGGGAAACCACCTGAAGCTGACGGCAGCATGCTGGCGGACAACATGCGTCCCATAGCTGTGATGTCGATAATCTGGCGAATCTGCAGCCGAGCCAGATTCAAACAAACTGAGGTTCAGGAATGGATCCACACATCCACCCCCGAATTCATGTTTGGGGGAATTCCCCAAAAAGGTGTTGAGGATGCTATCTCTCACATAATCCTCAAAGACATGCATAGCTGGCCGGTTGGTACACTTGACCTGACAAAAGCTTTCGATTATTCTGACCCTGAGATAATCTGCAAACTCTTTGTCCACCAAGGTATGCCGCGCAAAGCTGCACGCATGTTGTTAAGCATGTGGAGCGAACAAATCCGTTTTCTTCAGCTCCATGACGAATTTTTCCCAAACAACCATGTTGTCAAGCGCTCCCTGCCGCAAGGTGACTGCTTTAGCATGTTAGGCATGTGTGTTTTGCTTACTCCCATTGCCAATCACATTCAGAGAAAATACCCTTGTTGCGTTCAAGCTTTATATGCCGATGATCGTTCTTTCACTTGTTCCACTGCGACTGAAATATGGCAAGTTCGAAATGAATGGCATGTTTGGAGCAATAAGGTTGGTCTTCAAGAAAACCCCACCAAAGAGCAATATTACCACCGCAACGTTCAAGGTTGCCGATCTCTCGAGGATGCCGGCTGTCCTCCAGAAACAGTTTCCACTTCCATCACCTTGTTGGGATTCCAGTTCATGGGAGTGACCCAAAGAAAAGCCAAAGACCGAGAACTGACAAGACTCACTGAGGCCAAAGAAGTTCTTCGAAAATGTAGGTGCCTCCCAGGTTCCAAAACACGTAAAGCTGCAGTTGCCAGGGTTTGTGCCCCAGCAAAAGCAAGTTGGGGATGGCTGTTTCGAAGACCCACTCATGCTGAAAGCAACGCTTTCTTTCAGGGAGCAAAAGCGCTGCATCAGTGGCCAAAGCAGTCAGCCGTACCTTTACTCCAAATTTTTACTGGCCATTGGTGGGACTTAGGTTTTGCTGCCACGGTTACGACTCTCCGAGTCCTCACCCGCTATGTTCACAAAACACAGATGCAGTTGCAAAACTGGCCACCCAAAATGAGTGGCTGGACGGGTAGCTTTAGAAAAGGCATGCAAGAACTTGGGTTCGCTGAGGCTGGTAGTTGGACCTGGACGCACCCGATGCTTGAAACTATTCAGATTCAACCAACCACGCTGCCTGAAAAGGCGACCGAAGTGCTGTCACATAGGCTCAGAGATGCTTGGCGAATCAGAAAATATGAGGAATTCTTGGAACTTGACCGACGCGACTCAACGGTTTGTGCAGACATTCCATGTGACCTGACCCGCATTAATATTCTGCGCAAGAAAAAACTCAACAGTCACGAACTGGCTGTTGTAACTGGTGCTTTCATTTCACCTCAATGTCGAAATGCCATGGGAGGTGCTGAAGAAACATGCCCTTATTGCCAACATGTTTGTGCCACTGTGCAGCACATGCTTTGGGAATGTACTCAGAACCCACACCGTGATCCTACTATTAGACCCCACGATGTGCTGCAGGAAAGACTCGCATGGCCCACTACTGATCCTACTAAGGTGGACCATGACAACAAACTTCTAAGGTTTGCAGCTGCAACACGTGCTGATGTGTTGCAGCAGCGCCACGACGACTAGAACCACCTCCATTCTATTCTGGCGATCGCCTCTGGCCTGCGCTGCGGCTGCGGGCAAGTGCGGGCAGCGTCATTGTCTACATCATCATCCAGATTTCAGGTTAGTAGGTGCCTCCCAGGTTCCAAAACACGTAAAGCTGCAGTTGCCAGGGTTTGTGCCCCAGCAAAAGCAAGTTGGGGATGGCTGTTTCGAAGACCCACTCATGCTGAAAGCAACGCTTTCTTTCAGGGAGCAAAAGCGCTGCATCAGTGGCCAAAGCAGTCAGCCGTACCTTTACTCCAAATTTTTACTGGCCATTGGGGGGACTTAGGTTTTGCTGCCACGGTTACGACTCTCCGAGTCCTCACCCGCTATGTTCACAAAACACAGATGCAGTTGCAAAACTGGCCACCCAAAATGAGTGGCTGGACGGGTAGCTTTAGAAAAGGCATGCAAGAACTTGGGGTCGCTGAGGCTGGTAGTTGGACCTGGACGCACCCGATGCTTGAAACTATTCAGATTCAACCAACCACGCTGCCTGAAAAGGCGACCGAAGTGCTGTCACATAGGCTCAGAGATGCTTGGCGAATCAGAAATATGAGGAATTCTTGGAACTTGACCGACGCGACTCAACGGTTTGTGCAGACATTCCATGTGACCTGACCCGCATTAATATTCTGCGCAAGAAAAAACTCAACAGTCACGAACTGGCTGTTGTAACTGGTGCTTTCATTTCACCTCAATGTCGAAATGCCATGGGAGGTGCTGAAGAAACATGCCCTTATTGCCAACATGTTTGTGCCACTGTGCAGCACATGCTTTGGGAATGTACTCAGAACCCACACCGTGATCCTACTATTAGACCCCACGATGTGCTGCAGGAAAGACTCGCATGGCCCACTACTGATCCTACTAAGGTGGACCATGACAACAAACTTCTAAGGTTTGCAGCTGCAACACGTGCTGATGTGTTGCAGCAGCGCCACGACGACTAGAACCACCTCCATTCTATTCTGGCGATCGCCTCTGGCCTGCGCTGCGGCTGCGGGCAAGTGCGGGCAGCGTCATTGTCTACATCATCACCAGATTTCAGGTTAGCAGCTTCTCCTGCGCCTCCAGCCACAGCAGAGTGGCACGGTCGCTGCGGGCTCGTCACGGGTGCCAGGCAGGAGAGAAAATTAACGTGGCATGGCCCACGTTTGTTGCAGAAGAATTTGAAAAGAAAAATACAAAAGAAAAAGAAAAAGAACAAAAGTCAAAAAAGGAAGACAAAAAGAACCAATTCAAGAATTTGAATGTGCATTGCACGAAGAGAGCGATTTTTCAAATCGCCAAAAAAGACAAGAGCCATAAGGCCAATCCTAGGATGATGGCTGGCTGGCTGCTGATGCTTTGCTGGTCTGTGCCTTGCTGTGCTGCATTTGACACCAACAAGGACCTGGCCGCCAACCATGACGTCAATTACACCGGCCGCCCTGGATTGATTGTGGAAAATGCCACAACTCAGTCTAACGGCCCCCCAGAGATGACCCGCAACGGGAAAAAATGGCAGCTGACAATCGATGTGCCTCGCAGCGGGCGGCAGATTGCAGATGCGCTGAGCGAATATGGCTCCGTGGATGTGGAAGCTGGTTTCAGACTTTTGACGGAAGTAAGTGCAACTACTTTCGATATCCACCCCTACGGTTCTGGTTCTGACCCCTCAAAACGTAAATTCCCTGGGATCCTCAATGTGATTTTGGATTTGGTCGCTAGGTGTCACCATGGGAAGTTTGGATTTTACCCTCTGAATTTTGTTTCCTCCAAAATGTGGAATTTGGGTTTGGAATGGTGGAAAATTGGGTTTCGCCCCTGGGAATCTTTTCCCCTCGAAATGTGGAATTTTGAGATGGGATGGTTTGATGAAAAAATTCATTGGTCACCCTTTCTTATCTGGTTTTGTTTGGGCACCATGGGAGAAATTTGCGGCTGGTTGCTTAGGTACGGTGTCACTAAGCAATTTGTGCTTGCATGTCTCAAACGGGCTCAAGACAAACGCAAACGAAAACGAATCATCAAACGCTTGAAAAACAAACGCTCAGTGAAAAAATGCAGTGATCTCAAACGCTGTCAGAAGTTGTTGAAACCACATGTTGCATGTGCTGCTAGAAAATGCAGCACGCACAGACTCGGAAAAGCACGCCTGAAACACAGACGATGTGCTTTGAAGCTTCGGATGAGATGGACATATGTTCGAACCAATGGCATGGATGTTTCCCTGTCATACTCTTTCCTCTATTCGGGTTTTCCGAGACCCGAAGAATGGCCACTTGGATATGATGCACTGAGCTGGTACAAGCCTGATGCGAACAATTGCATTTTTGCCTCTGAGTGGTTGCAAGGTGGATATAAACGAAGGACGCAAAGGAAAAAGAATTACAGTGACAATGACAACGCCGCGGTTAGGAGTTTGATCCAAGGTTTGAAGGTATGTCTTAACCAAGGTTCTTTTCCGAAAGAGTTTGAATCCGTGATGTCCTTGTTAGGTCAAGTGGTCGGTCAAAATTCACCCAAAAAGATGTTTAAGAAAAAGAAAACGGTGAAACAGGAGCCCAAACCTGACCCGTCTAGACAAGAGCAGCTGCGGGACAACAAAGATGAAGACTACACCATTCTTGAGACAGGATGGTGGAAAATGAATGGTGCGTGGAAACAGTATTGCAGAGACCCACAAACAGGATGGTGGTGGTGGGACAAGCGTGGTGACAAAGTTACCACAGTGGACCACAACCCCAGACATAATGAAAAGAAACAACCCCAGACATAATGAAAAGAAACAAGACACTGAGGTTCACAAACCTCAACAGAATACTCCAAACCTTGCCAAGGTGCGAGCTCTCAACCCAGTTGAATGGAACAAGCCAATCAAACTTGTGGATGCGCAAACAGTTTGCCAGGCCATTAAGGAAGGAAAAGACTGGGATGGAAATATTTGCTGCAGTCATGACAGACAGGTCACCCAAGAACTTCGTGACTTGTACACAAGCTTTGGTTTCACGAAAGGACTCACTTTGGTTTTGTCAGCTGATGCAATGAATCAGCTTGGCATCACACTGAGCAGGACCAGGCTTCAAAGGACAAACCAACATGCCAAGGTCGAAGACATTGCCTTGCTCGGTTTAGGCTCTGACTACCCTTGGAGAACTCACCCTGTTAAAGTTGATCCCAACAATGTTACTACGGTTGAAAGGGAATTGGTCAGAATTGTCGTTCCCTCTCACTATAGAGAACTCTTTGTATCTGAACCCCAAAAGGAACGTGTCGTTGATGTCATTTCCGACTTGGCCACTTTTGGATGTCGTGCACATGTCCTCACAGGTGGCAGGTGGGAAAGACAGGAATGGCAGAAACAAAGTTCAAGTTTGGTAGGATGGCTTAAGCTCACCAAAAAAGATGCGGAAACCCTCCTGGAAAAATCAGGGAAAAAAGGTATTTTTATCAATAAGAATATTGATACCTCTAAGGAACGTCCGCATTTTGTGTGGACCAAACACGAAAAAGATGAAACCGATGAAGCATACTACCAGAGATGCCTTCGTCTTTCAGGCGAGAGAGGCCAGCCGATGTGCTTACGGAAAGGGTTGGGAAATGACATTGGTTTCACAAAGAAATCAGATGAAGACATCGAAAAGAAACCCAAACGAATTCAGATTTCTGGAGTTCCCAGGGACTGGATGGCGGAAGAACTGGTTGATTTCCTCAAACAACAAGGATGGACCCAAATGACTATTCACAATAGAAGAAGGGTCAACAAGAAAATTTTTGGAACGCCTGTGGAATGCCTCCTGTTGCATACCCATACGACCAGGGTCTTTGGGTGTATGAAGGTGCCACTGTGTTTACCATAATAGTCAACGACTCGGTCCATAAACCTGCAGCGCCAAACAGCACCACTGCAGTCAGAGGACCAAGGAAGACATGGGATGAAATTAAGGATCAGCCTCCACAGACGGCCAACACGCGGGGGCGCCCCGCGAAGAGGCAGGCCAAAGAACCCGATGAGCGACATCGGTCCAGATCTGCCGCTGAGAAGCCCGAAAAGGGCGATGAAAATAAGGACCCAATGGAAGTCGAAAAAACGCAGTTGGACTCTCAGACTCAGCCTGAAGCGATTGACAAGCAGAGTTCAAAGCCAACCTCGCAGTCTCTTGGTAATTTGACGGATGCCTTAACCCAAAACTGGACGCTGGCCGATCAAGGTGGATGCGGTGACTGTGGGTACCGGGCATTAATAGACAACTTTCATTATCAAACCACTGGTGAGACTCTTTCCAAAGAAGAATGCATCAAAAATGCCAATCTATTTCGTACGGAAGTGGTACGACATGTTCGCAAACATCAAGATAGGTACGAAAACCATGTCAGAGGTGGGAAAGAGGCCTTTCCTGCCTTTTGTGACAATGCGTTGAAGCAAACTCACTGGATATGTGGACTGCTGCTGCAAGCAGCAGCAGAGGTGAAATCATGCTGCATAGTGGTGTGGAATCAAAAAGATGAAGTTCTGGAAAGATTCACTTTCGCTCCTGAGTGGAGTCCACAGGGGATGCCCAGAATGAAAAAAGAAGCACCAATCCTGGTGGTGTACAGAAACGACAAACATTATCAATCCGTCCGACCACCCCAGGATCAGGACGGCATGACTAAGGTGCCCAAACACTGGGCGCGAGAGACAGCCAAACCCGAGGCCGAAGCACTTGGAGGCGCTGGACCAAGCGTTGGAGAATCGCCTAAAACCCTGCACACGCTCTCCCCTGGCTCTTCCCATGCTCCTTCGCTCCATACTCTCCCCGCCTCCTCCTTTCGCGGATCCTCGGGTGGGGGTGTGATGATCACGCGCGCGCCGTCCCTGCACTCCTTGGTTCCTTCCGCGTCTTCTCCTCCGCGTCTGCGCGCGGTTGTGCACGGCCATGCGGCGGGTGGTGGTTCTTCGGGTGCCCTTGCGCGACCCCATCCTCCGCGCTCCCCCTCTCTTCTTACCTTGGCTGCCTCCCCTCACTCCTGCGAACCTCCGCGTGCTGCCATCAAATCCCAGCAGTTGCAGCATCCGAGTGAAACGGTTGCAAGACCATTCAAAAGATGCAGGTTCAAGCAAAGCAGTTGTGACTCAAGGATTGAAGACATGAAGTTTCTTGCACCCTCTGAGAACGATAAAGCTTCGGTTTTATCTTTAACCTCAGAAACTCACCTCAATTTGACAGACAACCTGACCAAGGACCGGTCGGGTACTAAGGACAAAGGCGCAGTCAAAAATGACAACACAGAATGCGACTTTCGCCCTGACACTGCTCCATATCCTCGACACCTCAAGCGGCTGGATGCTAAGACGCTTGCCAAACCGCAAGGACCTCAGGTATGGGTTTGTCCGCTGCCTGACTGCCGGCATGAAATCAGAATTCCTGCAGGTTTGCAAGCGAGAGCCAAGCTTCAAGCTGCAAAAAGTTCACACCTGAAAAATAGACATACAGATTCCGAAAGAGCTGAATGCCCGCGACTCGGTGCTCAAACTCAGATCACAGTCCCGACCTCGGAACTTCCTGAAAGTGGCAGAGCCTGGAGTTGCCCAGAATGCGGGAAAGGACTCCCACTGTTGCCAAAAGTAGTTGGCACGAAGCTAGTGTCCGCAAACATTTTGCCGAGGCACACCCTGACACAAATCCAACTCAGGCGTACAGGAAGAAACAAAGAACTGACAAAGGCCTTCGAGCTCGTATGAAACTGCGAGGCAGACATATAGGTCAGCTCAAACAACAGAAGGTCGCTGACAACCTGAAAGTTTGGGCTCCGCAAACGGGGCATGATGTTCGCCAAATTCTTCTCAAACATAACCCCAAAGAAGAGAGACGCAAACTTGATTTGACGTCCGTGCTTGTTTGTGCCAAATGCAGACGAAAAGGGACACCATGTAGATTCAAAACCACCGCATGCACTGATGAAACTCAACCTATCCCGACTCAATTGCTGGGTTGGATCCGAAACATGGCTTTGCGACACCCTGCGAACCAAGGTGCCATCAGAAACGGACTTGGTATGACTGAAGCCGAGGTTGCAAATGCAAACTTCCAAACCAAAAAAAGAGTCAACGGTAAAGGGCCAGCCAAGTGGCTTAGCGGTCCGTTTGCCACCACTTTTCAGGCGGCGCAAGCTGCAGGGCACTTAGTTACTGAGGTCCTTCCGCCGGATGCCATGCGCCACCCGGACTCCACTGCTAAAAAGTTTCCCAAGGGATACCTGACCTGTAAAATTTGCCACAAGGTTAATCCACTTGGTGCTGTCAAAATCTGGACGAATCCATGCCTGGGACATGATCCCACCTCCAAAGGTTTCCAGTCTCAGAAAAGATATTGGCAGTCTTTAACTAAAACCCAAAAAAAAGCCCTCAGTCAAGCATGGGGGAAGACTCTGCAGCAGGGGGAGGAGCTTTTTGCCTCCCAATCCTCCAACAAGCGCAGCCGTAGAGCCAAAGAACATGACCATAATGATAAGGTTGCTGTGAGAATTGGTGAAGCGTCCCATCCAGGACCAAGATCACGAAAATTGCGCAACTTGGATCAACATGTGTCAGTTTGGACATGCAACACTCAAGGACCCAAACAATCGTGGACCTTACAACAGCTGCTCCAAACCCAGGAGCAGGCACCTCAGATTGTGCTGCTTCAGGAATGCTCTTTTAGCCAGGCTGAATGGACCACATTTCAAAAAACTTGTTGGTCTGTGGGGTACAGAAGTTTTTTCTCCGGTGCGCAAAGCACCGTCAATCGACACTACGGAGGAGCTGCAGTCTTGGTTAAATCTTCACTACCTTGTAGACCGGCCTGGTCACACACTCACAAAGGAGGTAGTGCCCAAGCTGTGTGGGTGGGATCAACTCTGGTCATCTCCACTTACCTGGCTCCTAACAGTGATGCAGAAACCGTGAGTGCAGCTGTGGCTCAAACTGTCCACTCTCTCGCTCCAAGACATCGTTTTATTTTGGGGGGGATTACAATGCCACACCCGAAGAGAATCCCTTTCTTCATTTCTTGATTCCTAGGGAATTTCGTATTCATGCCACTCAAACCCCAACGCGGTGGCAAGGAAACCGCGATATTGACTACTATATCAGTAACCTTGAGCCCACTGAGGTCGAAACGCTTCCTGATGTTGTAGCCGACCACAAAATTGTCAAAACTTTTTTCGATTTATCTACCGAACCTGTTTTAGGTTTCCAACAAGCCAACATTCCTAGAATCCTCCCGAAGGACCCGGAAGTTGCTGAACGAATCCAAATCAAATTGGCTCAGCTCTGGCCGCAGTTTTCCACACAACTTCCAGAGCGATGGTCAGTCAATGTTGACCAGGACTGGCAGATGCTTTCGCAAACTTTTTTTCAAGCCCTAGTTTGTGCAGTCAGGGCTGCTGCCCCTGACATGCTGCAGCGAGTGTCTCCGGCCTTACTGAGGAAAGGAAAGGCCACTGAGGTCTCTCTTAAACAGAAAGAACACATGAAACGACATCCTGCTGGAGCTATGGCTACTCACCGCCAAAGAGTTCTGCGCAGATTGATTGGAAGGTTGCGGGAAGCCCAGCGAAACTTGGATCAAGACAGGCAAAATATCACTGAAAGCCGAGTTCTCTGGAATAAAATCAGACGGTGTTCTATGTACAACCATGATTGGGGTATACAAAGAAACCTTCGGCATCTTGAAACGCTTTTGGAACGGTTCAATCATGAAGATGACTACACCAGACTTCAACGATGGAGAAACAACATGGAACATGACAAGGCTGCATACAGGTGGCTGCGACATAGATCTGTTCCCATGTGCAATGCGGTTAAGAAAACCAAAGACTCTGTTCCCAGTCACTCCACCCAAGACAGCCTGAGGATTCTCAGGGAATTTTGGGCCGATATTTGGAATAGACGTCAAATCTCTTGGGATGATATTTGGGATGATTTGGTTACTCACACTCCACCACGCCCTGCTCCTGACAGCTGGCCAAGCCTCACACCGGAACAACTCCGTTCTGCCACCAAGTGTAGCCGCGGCAGTGCGCCGGGGCTTGACGGCTGGAGAGCTGAGGAACTTAGTTTGTTCAGTGACGAAATGTGGCAGGTCATGTCCGGGTTCTATGATCATTGCGAAGAGCTCGGAAACATTCCTACCATATGGCGATGTGTTCGCCAAGTGCATATCCCGAAAGGGAAACCACCTGAAGCTGACGGCAGCATGCTGGCGGACAACATGCGTCCCATAGCTGTGATGTCGATAATCTGGCGAATCTGCAGCCGAGCCAGATTCAAACAAACTGAGGTTCAGGAATGGATCCACACATCCACCCCCGAATTCATGTTTGGGGGAATTCCCCAAAAAGGTGTTGAGGATGCTATCTCTCACATAATCCTCAAAGACATGCATAGCTGGCCGGTTGGTACACTTGACCTGACAAAAGCTTTCGATTATTCTGACCCTGAGATAGTCTGCAAACTCTTTGTCCACCAAGGTATGCCGCGCAAAGCTGCACGCATGTTGTTAAGCATGTGGAGCGAACAAATCCGTTTTCTTCAGCTCCATGACGAATTTTTCCCAAACAACCATGTTGTCAAGCGCTCCCTGCCGCAAGGTGACTGCTTTAGCATGTTAGGCATGTGTGTTTTGCTTACTCCCATTGCCAATCACATTCAGAGAAAATACCCTTGTTGCGTTCAAGCTTTATATGCCGATGATCGTTCTTTCACTTGTTCCACTGCGACTGAAATATGGCAAGTTCGAAATGAATGGCATGTTTGGAGCTATAAGGTTGGTCTTCAAGAAAACCCCACCACAACGACGGCACTATTACGCAACACCCCCCAGCAAACCCCCACCCCACCCCCCCCCACACCCCCCCCCCCCGACACGCCCCCCGCAACGGTCAAAGGGGGGGGGTTTTGTCCCGATCCTCTCGAGGATGCCTAGGCTCGCTCTCTCCGCCCAAACAGCTCTCTCCACTTCCACTCATCCCTTGTTTGGTGGATTCCCAGTTCATCGGAGTGACCCCCAATAAAGCCCAAATAACCATAGAACTGAACCAAGAAACTCACTGAGCCAAAGTAAGTTCTTCGAAAACCATGTAGGTTGTCCCCCCCCTCCCCCAGGTTTCCAAAACACTGTAAAGGCTGGCAGTTGCCACTGGGTTGTGTGCCCGCAAAAGTCAACTCTTGGGGATGGCTGTCTTCGAATGACCACACTCATTGCTGAACAGGCAAACGCTTTCTTTCAGGGAGCAAAAGCGCTGCATCAGTGGCCAAAGCAGTCAGCCGTACCTTTACTCCAAATTTTTACTGGCCATTGGTGGGACTTAGGGTTTGCTGCCACGGTTACGACTCTCCGAGTCCTCACCCGCTATGTTCACAAAACACAGATGCAGTTGCAAAACTGGCCACCCAAAATGAGTGGCTGGACGGGTAGCTTTAGAAAAGGCATGCAAGAACTTGGGTTCGCTGAGGCTGGTAGTTGGACCTGGACGCACCCGATGCTTGAAACTATTCAGATTCAACCAACCACGCTGCCTGAAAAGGCGACCGAAGTGCTGTCACATAGGCTCAGAGATGCTTGGCGAATCAGAAAATATGAGGAATTCTTGGAACTTGACCGACGCGACTCAACGGTTTGTGCAGACATTCCATGTGACCTGACCCGCATTAATATTCTGCGCAAGACAAAACTCAACAGTCACGAACTGGCTGTTGTAACTGGTGCTTTCATTTCACCTCAATGTCGAAATGCCATGGGAGGTGCTGAAGAAACATGCCCTTATTGCCAACATGTTTGTGCCACTGTGCAGCACATGCTTTGGGAATGTACTCAGAACCCACACCGTGATCCTACTATTAGACCCCACGATGTGCTGCAGGAAAGACTCGCATGGCCCACTACTGATCCTACTAAGGTGGACCATGACAACAAACTTCTAAGGTTTGCAACTGCAACACGTGCTGATGTGTTGCTGCAGCGCCACGACGACTAGAACCACCTCCATTCTATTCTGGCGATCGCCTCTGGCCTGCGCTGCGGCTGCGGGCAAGTGCGGGCAGCGTCATTGTCTACATCATCATCATCACCAGATTTCAGGTTACCGGAGTTTTTTGTCAGAGTGCCATAGACAGCGCCCAAAATGATCACGCAACAGTGGTGCAATCCATTCTGGCCAACAAAGAAATGCACATCCAGAAGATCCGCAAGCTCTTCAGTAGATTTGATGAACAAGAGACCGGTGTGATCACCTTTGCGATGTTAGAGGAGAAGTTGGATTCTTCCGAAGTCCGGGAATACTTTGAAACGCTGGGGCTCGATGTTTGGGATGCATGGACGTTTTTCAAATTGTTGGACCTGGATGCAGGTCTCTTGGGACGAACAGAAGCTGAAAGATGCTGAAAGTATATCGGGTATATATCGGGTATATATCGGATTACATCGGCATGTCATGTTGTTATGTCACATTTAAATACATTTAATCGGTGCATACCGGTAGCTGGTCTTAGCCACCCAGCGGGCTCAGCAGGTGCAACAGTCCACAAGTAACAATGAATTGCAACAAATCGTACATGAAATGATAGCAAAGGCATCCTTTTGTCAAATGACTCATTAAATTATAAAATTTTTTGGTGAGAGCGTGAGACCATTCTTCATCATTCCCCAGTGTATACGAAGCCCAACCCTGCAGGAGTTTGAATTCCATCGACTCGGAGATCAGATACTGTAGATAAGATTTTCCGAATATCATATCTGTAAAGAAGATCTTTTGAATCTTTTGATTTCATTGAGGCTCTATCAGGATTATCAGCACGTATGGTTAGGTCCTCAGGTTTGCTCTTTTAAATCGTTAGTTCTGCAGCCGAACGGCAATGTTCTAGTTTAAGGGCTTGTGCTTTCAGACGGCTCGGGTCCAGACTTCTTGATAATGCGAATCAATTACGCAGAGGGCCTTGTCGCACCTCAATTCGCATATACAGTGTGCAATCAGTCTGCTATGACATTGAAGTTTTAATCAGATTATGATCCTGGGTGTAAAATGAATGAGCACAGTGATTCTCAAGATAGTTAGCCACAAGCCCAAGGTGGAGCCATTTCAATAGAGGAATTCCTGATGGGATGTCTTCGATTGCGGGGGCCTGCGCGAGCTATTGATGTGGAAAAAATTATCTACGATCAGTCCTGGCTGCTTCGAAGCCACTCGCACTTGCATTGGGAGGCTTGCAGACACCCCACCTATCAGCTGATGGGGATATTGCCAAGCTCAAAAGCAAAGCATTGTCAATCATATCAGCAAGGGTGCCATGGGCCGAGCCTTTTTTTTTAAGGTAGGGTTGCTAGCCGGTAGTCCTTCAGATGCTTGTGAACATACCTGGAAGAAAGGAGTGGCACATAATTAAATATGCGTAAGTTTGTGGTGAAATTACGCAAAACCAAATGGAGAGATGTTAGTCAGAGAGAGTGTGCCACAAACTTGGCCCGCTTGGTCACAGAGAGTTTATGTGACAATGTGTCCAAACAATGCTTATTGACATAGGTTCTTTAGACCTTAGTGAGGGTGAACCTCGCAGAAGCCAATGCTTTAGAGCCTTGGATGAGGGTGTGGTCAAGCCATTTTTTTGTTGGATTTGAGACCCAAAGGAAGTACCAAATAAGTGCGGACAACTGCTTTTCCTGCAAATGAAATAGGGAGTCCGGAAATGCACGCTGTGAATGAGTTGTTGGTACTTGTAGAACGTCTTTATGGTGCTTGTGTTATTGCAGTATGCACATGCACATATGCAATGCATATATGCAACACATGCGCACACTGGCGAATTCTTCGAATTCTTCAAATTCAAGGGGTTCGGCTTGGACGCAACTGACCAGTAAATCTTGCCTTTGAGGGTTTGTACTTCGACTGCCGTCCTAGCTGCTTCTGCAAGTTGCCCTGGTGTTGTCGTGTGTCCATGGTGTTGAGTTGTCTTCAGTTGACATACATACAACTGGATACCTTTGGTGAATGGTAAGTGGAGTGCATACTGTGAGAAGATGTGAGAAGCATTTGTTGGATTTTCGACGCTGCTGCGGGGTTCTTGATGAGGTCAGGGCAAATTCCACACCTATATGGAGGCTGAGATGGTGAATGTGATTCAACACCTTCAGTTGCTAACAGGAATGCACTTGACAAAGTCAGACAGTCACTCTGCTCAAAACTCGACAGTTTCAAACGTCTTTGGGAGAGGATCTTTTAAATCTTGAAATCACATTTGGAAAGACTGAAACGGAATGAAACGGATATATCGGATATACTCTTCCTATCCAGATCCGGATGGATGATGACATATGATGACAGAATTTGGATGTGCGGTCTAATTTTTCGATGTTTTTCGATGTTTTCCGGTTTCGACACCTTGAAAGCTTCAGTGACAATCCGAGGTTTGAAGAGCCCTGACAACTCACAGGAACTATCAGCATGGTCACCTAGGATATCCTAGGACCACTTGAGCGCTTGGAAACTGGACAACCTCCACACGCAACCACTGCGAATCTTACTTTCCCTGCACGATTGCTTGACGTATTTTGCTTTGGCTGGAGGCTCTAGGCTCTTGAACTGCCAGTCTTGTTCTCAGGATAAGTTCGTAGGTGTTTGGCCCTTTAGCTTGTAAATCACAATTTGGGCAACAACCTATGGAGTCACAGAGAGCCTGCAGCAATGCCATTTTGAGAGCTTAATTCAAAGCATGTGCAAGTGCAGGTCATGAAATTTGACCCTAGGCAACTGCATTTTCAATGATGCGGTGGACATGCTTCTGCAGGATGCACGTTTTTTTGCCACTTGCGTAGCAAGGCAACTTTTTGAGATGCAACTTGTCCTCAAAGTCCAATCTACTTGTTCCATTTTGTTCCAAGGATGTCGTTCAGATGCAAATTGTCCGTTTTGGTCACTGAGATCGGCTGTGGACATGTTTCATCTCGGCAATGCTGGAGCATGCTGTTTTGTTTTGCGAGTAGAATGTCAAACCCTGTGCACAGTCGCAGGCGAAGGCCTCCATTTTTCAGTCCAAATTCTTCTCATGTTTGCTTGGGCTGACTTTGCCCTTTGAGTAGCTTGTGACTTGTGACACGTGCAAAAGTTACGAGATCTATAGTGAACTTGGTCCTAGTTTCATGTCGAACTCGTGAACTGTGACTCTTTGTCTTGGTCTTTGTTCTTTGACATTTAATCAGCATGATAATCATGTAGTCTCATGCAGTGGAGAGAGTTTCATTACCTGCAAGATTCTGTAAGAGAGGAAGCCAATGAAATTTCCATAAATTTCTGCATAAGAGGAGGGGAGATAATCCGCTGGAAGAGAAGGAGGGAGACCAATCCAGATCAATCCTAAGGGTTGTGCACTTTTCGTCTGCTTGAATAGGATGGATTTGGACTTCAAGCCCATTGCAATTAGAACCAGGCAAGTTCAAACAGCGTCGGACTTGGTTAATATTGCTGAGCGACTGAGCGAGTAAAATTTTACAGTTCTCGGAGATTGGCTTCTTCATAAGATATCTCGCGCTACAGTTGCTTATATTTGTCTTTCCTGTGAGATTGTTCAGTGCATGTGTCAGAGAGGACAGGTGTCATACGTTTCAATATGATCTTTGAATCCACATTCGAGTATGGGAACCCCAAACGGACAGAATCAAGCATTTGGGAAATCTCACCTACCACTCTACCACTACCTTTTTTAGGTTTGTTCTTAACCCATCCTCATTTCTCATTTCTGTTCTTCAGACTGAAGAGCGGTGCGTGACAGTCATCGCAGGAACACGAGACTGCCACATCCCTGCGTGAACTCAGGAGCTGCCTTCCTGGAACTGGCGTTGGGGTCGAAAGATATTGAAGGAGCACCTCTCACTTTCTTGTGAACCAAATGAATATTTCACTGATATGATGCAATACAAGGGGTTCAAAACATGTTGCCTTGACCAAACATCAACTCATATACGGTCATATACGAGTTAATGTTTAGAATAGAAGTCTTTGCGCCATAGTATCCAATTATCCCGCCGTTCAGGGATATCGAAACACATCCTGTCCTGGAAAATCCTGGAAATCATTCATCTCAGCCATGGCGTGAAACCCCCAGTAAATAACCGTGTGCCGGAAGATTTGAGGTACTGCAGACCACAAGGCTGGAAGTAGCTCTTGGGAAACTAAGACAAAGAAAACACCATAGATATCCATAGATAGCTCTGATACCTCTCTTCAGTATGCAGACCTCGTCTGAAGGTGATGGAGGGAGAGATGGAGAGAGAGAGAGAGAGTCCATAGCATCATAGCATTTGTCAGTAGAACCCATCTGATTCTCTTCTGCCTGATGGTTGCTAAATCACCGGCTTGAGGTGCCACATGATGTGATGCCATAAACATCCATAAACCCTATGGAGAAGAACATGCCGTATGTATGCATGCAATCGTGTGGAATGTGTTACGGAATGGTATGCAATGGAATGGAATCAGTTAACTCGATGAGTGTGTATAGAAATATATATATATATATTATATATATATTATATTATATATATTACATGCATAATTATATGCACATGTTTTTAATTTGCATTTTCTTCCTGACCTGAGCTACCAAGACTAAGGAATACTAATGGAGGCTCTAGTGTTGCACTACTTCATAAATGCTGAGATGAACGGCCGCGAACCAGCTTACTCCAGCTCAAATGCAAATGGACGTGATTCACAACACGACTATACATCATGACATTAGTCACACAAGTGCACCTGTTATGTCCTGTTATGTAGGATTGTCATTTGAAGAGCCAAGCCCCGCTACCAAATAATGATCATGACTCAGAGCAACGTTAAGGTTGTTGGAGCGCGTGATGTTTCTGCAGCTCAAGATTTTGCATATTTTGCGCGTGATGTTTCCAGTGAACTGCCAGTGTTCGATTGTATGACCACAGTCTTATTCGATCTTTGGAGATCTGCTTGCATTCAAGCTTTGTTCCAGTAGTATTGCCATGGCCAGCGAGCATGTAGCTTTGTTGAGCCATGGTTGGGATGGGCAGGTTGTTGATTCAGTTGATTCGGACTGGTTCCCGGTTCTGCAAAAGCCCAAAGTTTTGGCTCGTGAGAAAGATGGGCAGGTTGTTTAGAATCTTTGTTGTGGTCACATTGGCAGTGGTGCTGCTGGTTCTTGGCCCTGCAATTTTGCATCATGTTTCGTTTTTCTCTGTGTCGATGCATATCCAGCTCCTATTTTGCCAGGCCCAGCCCATTTCTTGACTTTAAAGATCTTGAAGGGTCCGAGCCGGATGTAATGGTATCCATCGTTGCCTCACCAAGGTTTGCGCACTGCAAGTCCAACTGGACTACCCAAGGCCAGTTCAAGCGGCTCAAGGGAAGGCAACAGAGACATCGACGGCTGGGCAATGGGATGCGCTGAAGCCAACCAAGGCGTTGAAGTTGATCCATATCCCAGGCACTGACAGCTCCAAGATTGATGCCTGGGGTGAGGCAAAGGGCTATTGGAGCTATGAGAAGACTGGGGCTGTTGCAGCTGCTGATTCTCAGGAATTTGATTCTCACAACAACAGTGAATTGCAGCCGTTTGCACGCCTTTCAGCAGAAGTGCGAAACAGATACGATTGGTTTATGGTGGTGCGCCACCCTGTGGAACGGATCGTGTCTCAATGCGCATCCTTGCTTTCAAAGAGGCTTAGCCAAGTGAGTGAAGCAAACATCAATCAGTTTCTTCAAGGCATTCTGAATGGAACGCAGCTATTGGATGCAGAGGCTGAAAGCATTAGACCGATGATGGACCAGGTGGATACCTCTGTGGTGCAGCACATCGTTCGATATGAAAGGTTGAATGAGGACCTGCCGAAGCTACTTCAGTTTTACAACCTGAGCCTGGAAGCTTTGCCCGAGGTACAAAAGCTGGAGACCCATCCGAGCCATAACTTCAACCAGAGCTGACCACTTTTCAACATGTGCATGTAAAATATGAACATGTGGCTAACAACATCTAACAACCAGTATTGCTAGTGACAGAGTGGAGATCTCACTTGTGAGATCTTGTGAGCACTCTTTCGTTTCTTGATGTTTCTTCTTACATTTCTCCAGGCTCTTGACTCTTGCCTGGCTGCTGGTGTCCCCAGCTTGACCGGAGACCGAGGAAGCTGTGGCCCGCGACCTTGCAAATGATCTACCAGAAGTTCTCTGAAGACTTCGTACATTTCAACTACAGCATGGCTGATCCGCAGCTCAGCTTCATTCAGCTCACAAAAAAGCCGGGTCCATAAGTTTGGAGCAAAACATGATGGGACCATTTGCAGCTTGCCGCCAAATTGAGGCAGGACGCAAGCCTCACAAGCACAGAACCGCCGGAAAGTCTCACATCGACCGTGCTAGCAACAACTGCCACGACAGTGGCGACAGAGACCACTCAGGCTGCAACATTTTTTGGGATGTCATTGCCATCATTGCCTTGGCGAACTCAGAAGGAGTCTCAGTGCGTCACAAGGACAATTCTTTTTCGATCTTTTGCCCCAGCCAAACTGTCGTAATACGAGTAAAATGTATAGCCTGTATAGCATTCTACAGCAGCAGGTGCGAGCCGCTAGCCAAACCACACCATTTCCCATGTTTTCTTGTTCAATTTCCAGCCCAACTGTTCATCATATGAACCCCACAAGCACGAAATCCAAACCAGCTCACTGTGGCCTTGGGACTGTGAGCCTCAGACTCCTAAGATAGCCTGTTGCTTTGAACCTTTGCACCTCGGACTGGCCTGCCTGCCAGTGTCACTCTGAGGAACTCAAATTCATCCACATTACGAAAACCGGGGGCAGTGCAATTGAAAACTGGGCCAAATCACATGGACTCTGGGCATGAGATTCAAGTTCTGAGAGTTGATTTGATTGAGATAAGAAACCGTTTTCATGTGATTGGTGTGAATGAGTGAGTGTGCCAAAGTGGACATAGCATGCCAACTCAGTTGCATTTTGCCACTTGCTGCCACTTTGAGGTTTGCTTTGGGGCCGATTCCACGTCGAGTACCGGGCTCCCGGTCGTAAGGGAAGCCCTTGGCATCATCCCTTTCCAGAACTTCCATCAGAATTGCGACATCGCTGCTCGGGGCAACAACTCTCACAACTTCTCATGAGACTCGTAGCTTTTCTTTTCGTTGCAGGGTTGGGTCAAGGCGGTTCACTGGCAAAAGGTCAATGCAAAAATCGCAGCGTATGCGAATCCTTGATTTTTGACTTCAGGTTCAAGAGACATACAAAGCATTACAAAGCTTTGCTTGCAAATTCTGTGGCAGTGGATTGTAATTGCATGTAATTGCCATCTATTATTTACTATCAGATTAACGATCAGCAGGATCCTGGGACCTGCAAAGCCTGCGAAGCAATTCTCGAGGCTACGATTGGTTTATGGTTGTGCGGAACCCGGTGGAAAGGGTGGTCTCTGAGTACTACTGTCCGTGGACTGGCACAAAGACGCCAGAGACAGACAATGAAGATGCTCGTTGAAAGTTTGAAAGCTGAGGCTGATTCATGTTTTCCGTTTTTTCCAGCCCGGATGGGTAGATGCTATGGTGATCCGGACTGATCCTGCTGGGTACTTACAATATTTTAACATGTTTTGTCCAAGATTTCGATTCTCCTTTGCCGGCACCGAACTCCATAAGGATGCATTCAACAAGTTTGTGAAGCTTTGGCATATATATATAAGGGCGCTATTCTTTTCATATCTTTTCATTTGAGGGTGCTTCGATTTGGAGGGATGGAAAGTGGTTGTCCTGGGTGTTCCTGTAGTCTGAGGAGCACGGCAAAATATGTACAGAATGCTGACAGTTGGTCATGTTGGGTCAGTTCATGAGTCTGATGGCAAGCAACTCCTTCAGCATCAACGCATGCTGATGCATAATGGAATACCAATCGAAGTACTTAAACTTGAGGTTCTAATTTGATTGTAATTTGTGGAACTCCTGTTTGGCTTCAGACTACTTTTGCCGTTTTGGTGCAGGAAGGGGGGGGTATTGGTGCACGGCAAGGCAAGAATAGGGGCAAAGGACGGCAAAGGTGGGTCTGGGCATGGTGCGGGAGTGGGTTCTTGCCGATCCATGGATCCAGTCAGGATCCAGTCGGGCACCAATTTTGCATGCTCAGTGGTTGGTCTTTTGATGCTGAGTGGAAATGGGCTCATGCTGATACTGGTCACACGTTGAACTTGAATGATGATGGTTATCATGGTGAGGATGGTTATTGGCAGCACATGGTTCGTGACGCTTGGGGTGCTTGGCGCTTGCGCCGTCATATGTCTTCTTCTCATCGTGCTTCTGGGTTGGATTGCTTCCATGCCGGTTACTTCAAGAGAATCGATTGGGCTGCGACCCGTACTTGGGTGCGCGGAAGCTCGTTCTGTTTGTGTTGGTGTGCTTTTCTCCCCTGCTGCCCGTGGTAGCCGAGGGCCCGGTGAGTTGACGACTTCCTGCATCTGGAATGGTTGCAGTGAGCTTGGCACGTTTGAGCACATTTGCTGGTGTTGTCCTTCTCGGCCTCCTGATTTGGGCATTCCTCCGAAACCGAACGAGGGCCTCTCTTCTCGGTATGGTTGCGTCATCACAAACCAGAGAGCGGACATCGGTGCTGTTCAAGATTGGCTTGTTTATGTGCAGCCTGCAGCGCTTGTTGTGGGAACTTGCTCATCCTTCCAGGTGATGGCTTGGCTTGTTGTTTGGCTTGTTGTTTTGCATTCGGCAGCCATCGGTCTTCATTTGCCCAAGTGACGAGTGATGGGTTCGTTCATTCGTGCCTTTTGTGGCTCGGCTGCCTGGAGGGGTTTCGTCAGTGCTTAGGGTGGCTGGCTCTGGGTGGTGGTTGGTTTGGGGTTTTCCTCGCTTTTTGGTTTTGGGGTTGTTGTGGTTTCCGCAGCTCTCGTTTGGGCTGCGGCTTCCCTGCTGCCGGGGTAGCGTACTGCTCCCCAGCGTTCATGCGCTGTCTACTTGGGGGCGGCTCATACGTACCAAAACCCTGCAAAAATGTTGTTGTTTTTTTAAAGGGTTTGGCTGCCTCCCAACAGGCGCCAAAAAGTGCACAGTTGGTGCCCAACGACGGGATCCCGACTGGATCCCGATTGGATCCCGACTGGATCCCGATTGGATCCCGACTGGTTTTCCTGAAAACTGCAGTACATTTCCCGCACCTATTTCCAACTTTTAGAACCTTGCCGCGCACCACCCCACCCCAAACACCTTCCCCCCGCCGCAAGATTCTAAGATGCACCTGTGGTATCCTGTAATTCTGTTCCGTCAGTGAGGCAGAGCTCGCTGGACGGAAGCAGGTGGCTTCATTGGGGGAGTTTCCAAGCTATGTCCGCAGCCTGGCAGCAATGTCCTAAAAAGTTTATTGAGTTATAGTATCTCATAGTGGACTAGATGCTCAATTATGGAAGAATTTCGGCATTGCCAACAGTTGAAGAGCAAACACACAGACTCATAGACTCGACTCATACATCAGAAAAACCAATAATCCATCACTAAAATCAGTTTCCCCTCCCCTAAATCAAGCCGTTGTCAGTGGAACCACGTCAGTTTTCACTTTGGCTGTCCAGTGTGACATGCACGTCCGAGAGTCAAAAATTCTGGTCTGCGCCCATATATATAGGTTTACACGCTCACACTCGGTTCGAGCCACTTGCAAGTTGCAAGGGAAAACATTTCAGCACAGAAATCAACGTAAAGGTGTTGTGAGTTGTGAGAATAGGTCAGTAAAATTTCATTAAATAGTGATGAACATAGAGGTATATGATGTAATTCGCCTTCCACTGCCTGTCAGGATTACCTAGACGCAACCAGTGTGCAACACATTTTGCACTTCGAGAGCTTGGCCAAAGATCTTGCCAGGCCACGGAAACGGCACTGAAACGCATTGATGATATGTGCCTGGCTTAGGAGGTGAAACACACGAATACTTTCAATACGCGCTGGCATATGCTGGCACCAGATCTCAGACACAAATGGATTGACAGTGACAAAATGAACGTACTTTATCCATCCAGCACGTGATCTATTGATTTTCTATAGGCTCTATTGCGCTATCTCTTCTTTTGACATCATACATCCATGTCAAGGATGCTCAGCCAGGCTACTCCCCCAGTATGGCATCTCCTTTGACAGCCTGCCCCGAACCAATGTGGCAACGATGGCTGCAATGTTTCCACGTGGCTTCTAGTGACTACTCTAGTGGATTCTAGTCGGTTTCGTGTGGCATTTGCTCAGCGTTTCGCATTTCCGCATTTCTGCATTTCTCTTTAAACTCAACCCATTTCTGGATTTCTATGGAGATAAAATCCCCCTTGGAATTTCCACTAAAGAATGGGACAACCCGGGTTGTCGCAAAAAACGTTTTTTTTGCTAAAACATGTGGTTTTTCCACATGGCTAACCCGGACTCCCCATTTTTTGCAAAGGCTTCCTGGGTCATGATTTTTTAGAGAGGGCATTTTGAGAGGGAATAGACAAGTTGATTGAATTTTTGCAATTTGCTAAAACTGCTGTTGTGCGCCGGCCATCTCCGATGTGTAAAGCAATATTTGGGTACATTTGGTATTTTTATACCTGTTGACGTCCACATGGCTAACATGGACTCCCTATTTTTTAGAGTTCTGCTTTTGTATTTGTATTTTTTGGTATTTGTTTGTATTTTTTGGTAGTTGGTTGCCTAAACCATGATTTTTTAGATGGCCTTAGACCCCCTTGCATCCTAGGTAGACATTCTTTAGATGTGCCATTTGAGTAGTGCAAGGTGGACCACCGTCTTTTGTCTAAAGAATGCTGGAGTCCATGTGAGCAGGGGAATTCCAACAGTGATGAGATAAACAGATATAAACATGGGTGCACCAGTGCACCTGCTCCCAGGGTCCCATGTGCAAAATTGCACGCAAATCTGTGCCGTTGGCCTGATCTCCTTCCAGAGGCACAAAACCGGAAATTCAACGCCGGCAATTTGTGGCCCCAGACCTTGAAGCTGATCCGTGCGAACTATTCCGCTGACTTTGAGAATTTCAACTATACCTGCAGAAGATGTCCAGATTGAGTTGAAGCTGTCTGGTGCCAAGTGGAAAAATCTGGGGCTTTTCGATGTCGAGGAGGCACTTGTTCTAGTAAGAAGATGCCAAGGAGGAACGAGCTCGTGAAAATACAGGCTTGAAGCAAGGTGGACCATGGTAGCGTAAATAGTATGTGGAATGTGTCGACGCTGACAAGCATCCTCACCCAACTGGGAACACTTCAAAGAATTCCTGGCCAAATTTCCTTCCCACATGCGCACGTGTCTGTACTTGCACAGCCAGAAATGGAAAAGGATTGGTGGGGAGGTAGCAAGAACTGGTTCCCTTGCAATGTCTTGCAGGGCTGCCCCTGTTGCGGTTAAGCTTGTTTTCTTTCACTGAGCTGTTTTTGCTAGCAGCTAGAGTCAGCTAGAGCTTTGCATGGGCTACTGATACTAAACACTTTCAACCACTCTTCATGAGCTCCACATCCATTTGGCCAGGAGCAGGGAACCAATGGAACCGAGCCTTGTTCGCCTTGCACGCCTGACCTTACCAATGTGGGCAAGCTGACTTCAACACTTCAGCTAAGCCGAAAAAAGTTATGCAGAAGGCACTGCCTTTGCGGTCGACAAAGATAGACAACACACACACACTATATATATAATTATATATATAATTATATATATACTAATATTGTAAATATATTATAATATGTATATTATATTGTACTCTGATGGTCAGGTGCCCAAAGTTGATGTGATGTGATTTGTTCCATAATTGTCACTTGTGTCGACTCATTTCCATGTATGCAGTTGCTTTGGCTATTGAAGGACACAAGTTCGTCGCAGCCCGCTCAGCCATAACTGTAAGACAGCCCAGTCCCATGTCACGAAGGACAAGATGCAGCAAGGTGTTAGAGGTACAGCCTTGTGCATGGCTGCATTTTTGATGGTCGAATGGTCGATATCACACATGCAGATATTCCCAAAGAACTGGTTCATAACTTATTCATAACGCACCCAAATGGTCAAAGTGTTTCCATTTTTCTTGTTGCAAGTCCGTGCTGATGCTGTGCTGGCGAGCAGCTGGCATTGCGACGCTGCTAGCGACATTTGGCATCGCTCCTGCAGCGCCTATTTTGAAGGTCAATGTCAGCGACAGCGGCAGCAGCTCAGCACGACCCCAGTAGTCTTCGTCAACATGAAACAGATTCAAAAAGAATCAAACATGTTCAAAAAACAGCAGTAAGCGAGTGGCCCGAGGCTTTGAAGTGACTTTAGATGGGACTCTGTGGCTTGAAGGTGGAGAGGCCAGGGTCTTTTCTTTGAGTCATGTTTATGCAGCACATTTGCAGTCTTGCAGTCTTGCTTCTGTGCTCTTCTAAGTTGTGTTTGCAGGTCCGTGTGGGACATTTGAATTCCTCCGAGTTGTCACGTACTGGTCGGCGTGAAGGGAAAGGGACGGATGCGCTTGGAGGACAATCTGGATGCGGGACGAGTGACAATTCATACCGGCGAATATATATATAAACGCGCTTAAAGGTCATAGGTTAAGAGCAGAACAACCACAGGGATCCAAAGGGCAAATCACACAGACCTACAGCAACACAAGCGATCAAGCCGGATGCATGCATGCAGAGGACAGTATTGGGATGTATCGGGCGCTGAAAGCGCGCGGTTTCTGAATGTAACTTACCCAACTTCTTGTTCGCAGGATATACCTACAAGACGATTCAGTGGTCAAAGGCAGGCAGCAAGAGCACCCTTATAGAGACCTCCTTCCGGACATATGAGGCAGACTCGAGCATTCTCGTCTTTGAGTAACTTTGCAACATGGGAAGACTGGACTGGGCCGGCTGTTCTATGATTTGCGGCAACAATTGCTCGACCAAGAAGTGGGGCATTGTTGATATTGTTGGATATTAAGACATTGTCATTGTCATGTTCCGCCCAGATGAGGCAGTTCTTCCCAGAAACATTGTTTCTGCCAGCGCGACCATGGGGGAAAACTATGCAGGCAGACGGACCTTTTTCCTGAGCGCAAAACTCCATAAAGATTCGTGACATTTTTACATTTTTGCAATATATGGGTTTAAAGAGGTTTGGACTCTGAAAGCTTCAGGTTTGGCTACCTCCACAGTATGCCTGGTAGATCTGTGCCATGCTGTTGGCCTTGCTCGGAGAACTTGTGTTCGATGTTTCATTTTGATTCAGTTACTTTTTGTTGCTGGCACAGGCTCCTGCAACACTCTTCCCTTCATTCCGAACCTCTGGACCTGCAAAAGACCTGGACTGCTTCGCTTATCATAATATCTTCCCGTCCCTCCAGCACTGCAACTAATCTTTTTGGCAACATTTTCCAAACATGTTCGTTCTCATGTTGTGAATCGTTTTGATGGGCCACGCGGATCAGATTTGAAAAAGGATCTTTGGCACACAGTCGTTGCAACGTCTGTCACCAGGTTTGGAGATAAGGAGCCTAGAGCCTGCCTTTTTCTTGTTCTCAAACTGATGCTGATCGAATTTGAGAACAGGCACTTTGGGCAGCTATGCATCAAGCCACCAGGGGGGTGCCCCGCTGGTGATCTACAATGCCACGAATGGCTCTGCCATTTCAAAGCTTCCATCCATGACGGTATTTTCACCCTTGACGACGCCAAAGGCCAGCTGAAAGTAGGGTTTTGCATGGTCTTGCGGTTTTGCGCTCACAGCAGCGTGAAATTGAGCTGAGAGGCGAACATAGAATATGTAGAATGTCCGGAACAGTTTTCTCTTTCCAGATCCTGAGATGTTCGGCCTGACAGGCTCAGCACATGTTTGCCCCTTGCCAGCACTTTCGTAGTCATGCTGGAGATTGCTGGAGCACTGGAGCATGTTCAGCTTGATGCTGTGGCTACAGGGCATGGCTAAGGCAGGCGATGGCCTCTTTGGTGCAGGTGTCAAAGGAACGGTCCGACAAATTCCTGCTGGGTGGCAGCAGCTCTTCATTCTGTCGGCTGGCAGCGGCATTTTGGATGGCGCCCTGACCTTGACCAGTTGCGATTGAATCTTCGAATGCACAGTGGTCACTTTGTTTGGCAAATCTGAGGAATGATGTCATGGGGAGATCGGATGCTGACATTCACAGGAAAGCCTCGAGCTGATATGTATCGACGCTTGTTTTTTATTTGGGTACACGGTATACTTTGGATTGATTTGGTCTTAGAATGGCCTCCTAGAACTCCCGGCGAATCCTGCAGCACCTATGTTGCTGGCTTTTCCTCGCTGTGAATTTGGGAGCACCCCCTACAGAATCACATGAATTGCGTGGTGCGCAAAGGTTTTGGAACTTTTTCCCCAAAGGCCCAGAGGTTTCCGAAGTTCCAATGGCCCTCAACTTTCGGTCGCTGCAGCCGGAGCCAGCTTTGGCCAAGGTGATGATGTTGTGGGTAGCATCGGTTTCTGGACCGACAACGGAGGTCGTGACCTGAGGAATCACACTCCACATCAAAGCATGCAAACACATAACACCATAATTATAATGTATATTATATATATATATTATACATAATATATGATATATACATTATTATATATATATGGTATAATATGATATATCATATAATATAATACAATATAATATAATGTAATATACTATAATATAATATAATATTATAATATATATATATGTATACACACCTAACAAACACAGCAACAATCACACAACCCAAGCTTGGCTGGGCATGGCAAGTGCATCGTTGGTTTGTCAAATCTCTTAACTGCACCAAGCCTATCAAGGCTACTACCACTATGCAACTGGCACCAATGAGACTTACGAGGAGACCTTGCCAAAGGTGAAGGTGCGCATGGGTTGGTCCGCCGCGTTGAACCGATGTTTCTTCGACGGATGTGCTCATATCGATAGTATGTTCACTTGCTGCCTGCGCGACGCGCCATGCATCTTATTTTGCAGGCGTATCATGACTCCCTGGGAGTTCCCTTTAAGCATTGGCAGCAACTCGACCAGCACATTGTTCAAAAGAGGAAACAGATGGGTTGAATAAACAGAATCCATGCCAACTTTCACACCTGAGTGCCCTGAGGTTCGACTCCTGGTTCTATCCCAAAGATGGTAAAGTCGATCCTGGTGGTGGTGGAGGGGCGGTGGTCAACTGGACCAGATGGGCTCAATTACTGTTGCATCATATTTGATTGTCAGCCGGAGAAACGAGAGAAACAATCAACCATGCAAACGGTAAGCAAACAACAAGTCGGCCGCTTGTGCATTTCTATGCATGATTATGCATGCACAAACCAAGTAGTGCGGAGATTTCAATAGAATGGCTGACAGCCAGCGAGCTGCAAAGTCTTCGCACCATTTTTTGCCTCAGCAGGACGGCCCTGCCTTCCGTCTTCCCCCATGGTATGGCATATATTCAGTCGAAGCTTCAAGTTCCGATGGTGAAGCTTGGGCCAGCATCCAGTTCACTGCCAGCAGTTTGCAACTTCATTACCATTCATATCCATTTATCACTAAGACCACTAAGTACACTAATTTACCATATAAATATTACATTAAATTACCGTATATTTTTCGTATATTACCATGCTCTTTTTTCCTTTTGCTTCCACAGCTTGTAGCTCTGTCCTTCTACATCCGAGAAGATTGCGCATAGCGTATGCTGTATGCTCACTGAGCTCAGGATGCACAACAGGCAGTGGTCGCCCACTTCAGACTATGTAAAGCAACTTCTCCTGACAACTTATGAACCTTCATATTCTTCATAGGACATGGCAGGGTTGGTACAATTTGGATTCGTGTGGCACTAGTGTGGCTCCTGACCATGAATAGACACTGCACAGGGTTTCTCGAGGCACGAACCCTTCAAGTGGCATTTGTCCGAGAAGGCAGCAATCCCAGAAGATCCGGAGGCATTCTTCAGGCGAGCTTGCATGTGCCAACTAGCCTTGTGCTCAAAGAAAATCTTTGGTTTGGTTGAGCAATTTAGCAGGAATTGGCTCAGCTTGGCGGAAAACATGTTTCCAAATGTTTCCAATATAGATACGTGGTTCCCCTACAAACTTAATTTTGGTGCCAAGATCTGGGAAGGTGGTTCTTCACCCAGCAAGAAGGCTGGGGTCTATCCATGTACGAGCAAGATTGGATGTGTTCAGTCCTCAGCTTTGGTGCGTAGACGCGACAATGGAGAACACAATTGGGTACAACACGATTTCCACCAACGTTTAGGTACAGAGTACGACAACGTCGAGGACCTGCCAGTGGGGCGTCATTTTACATGCATGCAGAATCTCGAAATTTGTTAGGGACTCCTGGAGCTTGGATACATCCATTTCTTGAAGCTGATTTGCTGCCTATGCAGACTTTGTGCCATACTTTGATATACTTTGACAATTTCCATCAATTTGAATATGTTTGAATTGGTCAGGATATATGTCAGGATAGGTCAGGATTCTATCCCCCAAAGTCGCAGCCAGACTTGCCACGCCTCGCACAGGCGTTGCAAACCAACATATCGCTTGCAGACCTGTGGCTTCGTGGCATGGCCATAGGTGCAGCCAGCAGTGGCAGGACCGTGCAGTGGCCTTGACTGAATCTATTGCCATCGCCGATTCGATCCTGTTCTTCCACTTCTGTTGGCAACTGGCTTCTGAACATTTATGAACCGTGAGTTCATGATCATTTCATGACCTCCCAAGGTATTGCATGCCCTATCCATACGATGTCCTCTCCGCAGCTGCCTATCCAGCAGTCACAAATGCTCGAGCAACAGGTGGGATATGGTGGGAGGGGGTCAATTGGCTCTGTCGATCCATCATTCTTCATGACCCATGGATTCACAGGTGACTACATAGACAGGGACACACAGTGGGCTATCGGAGCGACGCAGCATGGACCGCAAGCAGATTGCCTTGCCTGAAAAAATCGCTTCGATGAATAAGTTGCGGCACTGTGACATACAGTACTGTGACTTACAGACCATTGCTTACACGCATACGAAGTCAAGACAGTGCAAGACTATGCGGATCAATGCGGTGCATGTGGGTGACTCGATGTCGGATTCTGTGTCGGTTCGGTGAATCTTGGAAGTTCAGAGTTCAGATGAATTCAGATAAATTTTAATGGGTGATGTGGGTGTGAGGTCTATGTTTTATTGGGCCATCGGCATTCTCCCCTTCAAGGACGGTCCCTTGCCCCGGTACGTGGAACTGCAGTGATTTTTGGCAACGCTTTGCCACTTTTTGTTTTGGTGCTTTTTGGTCTGAGGTTTCTACTCAAGCAACTTGGACACCACTGAGAGAAGCTGGCTATACCTACGGCTGCTGCAGGCAATGCCTGCAGTCTAGATATATATTGTACGTATATATATATATATATAATAGCTAGATAGATATATGTATATATATATACTGTATATATATATATATATTCTCTCCCTCTCTCTCTCTCTCGACGCATATATTTCCACCCCAGAAATTGCTGCCTCCGGTTGGCAAGGCATCTGGAAACTGTTTGGAACAGTGTTGATGTTTTTGTTCCGTTCAACGTCCCCCGTCCTGAAACGCGAGCCTCTTCCCACTGAGGCAACCTCCCGCAGACTGGTGGGCAGATCGTCGGCCCAGAAGAGCGGCCCAACCGGGCGACCCTGATGGCCACGCTATCAGGCGGCGCGGGGCTGGAATTGGGCAGCAGAATGCTCAGAATGCCAGGAGAAAGGACACATAATTGCCACAGACTTCTGTTAATATGACAATTGTGACATCATGCAGGTTGTAGTTGAACTTTTACCATTGGCATTGGTCAATATCTCCTTTTCTTGTTTGCATCTTGCCATTCCCCGCTTCGGACTATCCAAAAATGTCACTCGCTCTCTGACTCTAATTGTAGACGCTATTGCCAAGGGTACTTCGGGGTCCTTCGCACTCAACGCAGAACACCCCAGCATCAGAACACGGCAGTGCACATGACATGAACAGCGCCAGCAGTGTATTTGCATGTCCTGTTTCCGTGCTTCAAGTGGACCGGCTGAGTTTTGGAGGACTGCCTCCATCAGATTATGAATGATAATGATTCATTCGCAGCATTGCAAGCGTCTTGCTTGTTGGGACTGGAATGCCAGGTGCTATGGTTGGCCCGATGGAATCTTGTTTGCATGGATGGTCTGAACACTTCCCTCAAAATATGATGAGACAAATGCCGAAAGTGCGTGCATTGGCCAAGCTATGATAGATTTCCGAGCACGGATGGTACGGCAGAGATTTCTTGCTTCTGCAGCGTCTAGGATGGGATCCACCTGCTGAATGCCTCCAGAGTAATGTCAACCTGCCGGGGAGACGGAAAAGCACCTTAGCCTCATCATTGAATTCAGTCATGCACACCCTTCAAGGGTGAGACTCTGTGAAACCATAGCGTAACTCTCTTGACATCTCTTGACATTGAGGGTGACCTTCCATGACCTTCCTAGGTGCTCAAGCCGGATAGGCCAATCATGCCACTGGAGTCTTGCTTTTCTAGAGGCTTGATTACTGGAAGCGTCAGCTGCATGAGTGTATGAGTCGTGGGAACAACAACGGGCAGCAAACAGTATGCCAAGTCTGAAAACCAGTTTTTGAATGTTTTTGACGAACCAGACAAAACTAATCACCTTGGCTTGTGCAGGTGTTGACCCTGTTCCTGCCTTAGTCGCTAGGAAGACCACCACGCACTGTGTCGCACATGTCGTGCCGCTGAATCTGTGCTGCCTGTTTTGCCAAGGCCAGCTGTCACAAGTACTCCACTTACTCAGCTTCTTGGCTGCAAGATGCTGCAGGATGCTACCAGCTGTTGGAACATGCGGAGTACGGCCAGATGTCCTTGGCTCTTGAGCCTGTTGCATACCTGGACCTGCAGCAAAGAGCTTGACCACAAGCTGCAAGGACCTAAATGGTCTCGGCAGAGTCTTCTATATTTTCATGGACGTGCCTGGCCCTTTGCAGCTCGACGAAGTGATGCTGACAGGACCGATGCAAGGAAAATTGCGCGGTGCAATAGCAGTGCATGTCATCCCGAGCACAGCTATTGAGGAGCGCACTGCTGGATGTATTGATGCCCTTGCATGTTTCACTACATTCATGATGCATCACCATGCCATATTCTTGATCCCGACAGTTTTTGCAAAACTTGGGTGCCGTTACAAACAGATCAGTCTTGCAGGCCACAGGGCTGAATCCTTTGCAGATGCTTGGCTGCAACCTAGCGATGCAAGCACCAGACTATCCTGAAGTACTGTACTGCTTCAACGTCAACGTTACTTTCCAATCTTATTCATGATGATGATGACGATGATGATGATGATGATGGTGACGATGATGATGATGATGATGATGCTGATGCTGATGATGATGATGATGATGATGATATTGTAAAAATTGGTGACAATTATAAGCACACACACATACATGCTACACATACACACACATATTATAGATACATATAAATATACATATACATATACATATACATATACATATGCATATAGATGCCAACATATATATTTATATAATCATATGTATATATATATATATATGCACATTAAACTTTTAAACACATACACTGCACACACACATGATTCAACATTCAAGGCGCCGAAGACATGTCCATCAGTTTTGAAGGTTTACGACTGGTACAGCTCCAAAATCACCTGGCTGAATAGCACCAGCTTCACGCTGAGTGCCGGCTATGAAGGTCATGGATGCTTGGCCTGACTGTGCGTAATCAGCCACATGTGTGAAACGATATGGCAAAATAATGCAAAATAGAAAGTCACAAGTTAGTTCTCTTTCAGATTTCTTTCAGGCTTGATTCTTCCGTTTCTTTTGTTTCTTCTGTTTGTTCAGTTCGATTTGGACAGTCTTTGGATCAAGTGCCTGCAGAAAGCAGAGGATATGGTATGCTTTCTCCAGTCGTTGGTGGATGGGCTTTCATTGGCGAGAGAGCAGCTTAGCTTGCAATGTCGGTGAAATGATATTGTCTTTTGCAACTAGCAAGACCACAACGCCTCAGAACCAGGTATGCAAACGTTTGGCCCCATGCCGAGCTAGAAAGAACACAAATCGCTTGTTGCATGGTGTTATTTGTATCCCTTTTTCGTTTTTGGACGTTATGACGGTATGTCTAATCGTTTTGCATTTTTTGTCTATGTTTTGAAGCCTTTCGTATGTGTGCGGCACACCCGGGCCATCCCAAATGATTGATGATCTCAAGCCTTTTCAATCCGCTCAAACAGTTTCATTCCAGTTCTTTTGTCAGTCTGAGTTGGTTTGCTGCGTTTCTTGTTGTTTGGGCCATTGGCCATTGATGCCACCGGTTGATATCAGTTGCAGGCAAAACTAGTGCCAGCAGCATCTCTGCGTTTTAAGCACTTCACGAACAAGCATGGCCTCACTGTGCAGGTTGCAGGGGTGACTTGGCAACCGCATGTCGGCATCCCCCAGAGCTTTTCACGGTCCATGACAATTGGCTTCAACGCACACAACCTGTGTAGCTGCACAGATTGGTACCTGGGACCTAGGTAACGAATGAGCAGCTGGAGGTGTGTGCTGCGGAGATGCAATCTGGATTGCTGGTTTGCAAACAGGCTTGGCCCACTTTCAGCTCCATGAAACGTGAAACCATCTCTAAAGGGTTTATCGTGATGCTGGCCATGGCGCACATGGACTTACAGGTTTTGTATGGTTTTGTATCAAATATGCACAACCACATTAAACACGTTTTACATGTTTCTAAAACACAGCACCTTGTGCCCTTCTTGGTCAGTTCGAACCACGCCAAGTACACCTTTGGCCAGGTGAGCTTCCAGGTGTCCGGAACAACTGAGATCGAATTCTCATCCACTACGGTTGCATTCATCTGAGCATATCTGAGCCAGTGCCACGTGTCTCACTATTCTCACTGGTTTGAATACAAACTTCTTACCAGTCATAGCAGACAGCCCCTGAGGCTATAGACAGTGTTTCAAGCTTGAGTGAGCATGACTCGACGGGGCAGATTCAAAACAGGGATATGCCCAATGCCAAATGGCCACCGCACCTGCTTGGATGCGATCTGTCTCCTCCATTTTAACTAGTCCTTGTGCACTTGATGAGCTGTGCGTCTGGTTGGGGCTCCAGGTGTCAACATAGATGGCATAGAATGGCATAGATGACACACGTGGTTGACGTGGCACCTGAGCACGGGTTGATCTTTGCTCCAACCAGCAGCTTACGACAGCTATTGTCAGCCCCTTCCCCTCGGAATGGACGGCCCAAACAAATCCATTTGTGGCATATCCTTTTTCCGTGAGATTGTGGCCACTCCATTTCAACCCAAAATTCTTTAAACCAACATGAATTCACCATTTGGATCATTTGGCTACGGCAGCAGATTATTCATTTTCACTTGAAATCACTTGAACATTTTGAACATATTCATATAATAATATGGCCATATATAGCCCTTCTAACCTGGCTTTCCACTTTGGCCACTCCGTGAACCCCTCTGACGACCCAATGTGAGACGCCTCCATGGGCGCTGGCCCGTCCAGTGCTCCAGTCTCCGTGGCCCCCGTGGCTGAACCTGTGACGCACTTGGGTGAAACCCACGTGAAACCCACGTGAAACCCACGTGAAACCCACGTGAACATATATGGGACCATATGGGACCCCATATGTTTATCAATTGTTTATCATGTTCACCCTGGTTTTGATGTTCCGTCCGAAGCAAAAGATGAAAATGATGATGATGATGATGACGACGACGACGACGATGATGACGACGACGACGACGACGATGATGATGAGGATGATGATGATGATGACGACGACGACGACGATGAGGATGACGACGACGACGACGACGACGACGATGATGAGGATGATGATGATGATGATGACGACGACGACGACGATGATGATGACGACGACGACGATGATGATGAGGATGAGGATGATGATGATGATGATGATGATGACGACGACGACGATGATGATGATGACGATGACGATGACGATGCTGCTGCTGCTGCTGCTGATGATGATGATGATGATGATGATGATGATGATGATAGACGCCTCATGAGCGGTCTTGTCATTGACAATTCAATTCAACGTCACGTACTCACGTATTCACAGAAACCCCAAAAAACATAGAACTTCATGGGAATTTATAGGCACTCACGGGTATGATAGTTCAGCAAGGACAAGTCTCAACGTCGCCTTGGACACCTCGCCGATCTGACCGAATCAGACCTGCCAGAGCGTCTTGCTCGGGATGGGCGGCTGCTTGTATCCTGGCAAGAAATGTAGACACTGTAGAAAAGAGATGGCAAGAGATGGCAAGAGATGGCAAGAGATGACACGAGATGGCACGAGATGGCAAGAGATGGCACGAGATGGCACGAGATGGCACGAGATGGCACGAGATGGCACGAGATGGCACGAGATGGCACGAGATGGCACGAGATGGCAAGAGATGGCAAGAGATGGCACGAGATGGCACGAGATGGCAAGAGATGGCAAGAGATGGCACGAGATGGCAAGAGATGGCACGAGATGGCACGAGATGGCACGAGATGCACGAGATGGCAAGAGATGGAGATGGCACGAGATGGCAAGAGATGGCACGAGATGGCAAGAGATGGCACGAGATGGCACGAGATGGCACGAGATGGCACGAGATGGCACGAGATGGCACGAGATGGCACGAGATGGCACGAGATGGCACGAGATGACAAGAGATGGCACGAGATGGCACGAGATGGCACGAGATGGCAAGAGATGGCAAGAGATGGCAAGAGATGGCAAGAGATGGCAAGAGATGGCAGGAGATGGCAGGAGATGGCAAGAGATGGCAAAAGGAACAAACTGGACCAGACATCGGTAGACTCTAAGACTCGCTAAGAATCCTTTGCTCTGGAAGTTGCTGATGCATTGGGGGCATATTGAGGGCATATTGAGGGCATATTGAGGCATATTGAGGGCATATTGAGGCAGAGTGCCAGTGTTTCAAAATGTTGCTCCACAACTCTGTGGCATCCCGTGACTGTGATTTGAGGCAGACTTCGCCTTATTCCTGCAGGAGTCTGGTCGGCAGAAGGCACGTGGTTTCAATATTCTTTGAGTGTCGATGGTTAAAGTACGTTAAAGTACGTTAAAGTATATCAAAGTCAATGTTAGACAAGACTTCAGCCGGAAATAGAGCTCCGCAACACAGGCAGACCCGCAGAATCCTGCAGACATTTGCAGGAACTTTTGGACCTATATGCCCTTGATCTAGCTGGAGCTGTAGATTGGAGCGACAGTGGTGAGGAGCCATGCAGAGCTGAGCAGCGGATATGCTGATTGCTGATGTATTCTATGCGTTCTATGGAATGACAGTGCCATGCGGAGCCATGTCGATGTCGAGTCGATATCCGCCAGGCACGGCCGGCTTGTGTCCCTTGCGCCGATAGAAGTTGCTCATCAGAAAAAAACTGTCGTGTCGTAGGTGCAGCTGAAGTGCAACATTGATCAACTATATCAAACTTGAATTCCCGAACTTTGTCGCACTCTGAATTCAAAAACAAGCTTCATGACTGAGATTGAAATCTACAGTAGTTTGTTCTATTCTGCGGCCCAGCTCGCAGTGTTTACCAATATGTTGTAAATTGCTGGCTCTAAAAGGATGCATAGACAAGCTGTTTGGATTGGCCAAGGAAACAAACTCATTGCATCTTGTCTGCACTTCCTCAGAGAAGGGAAAGGTCTGACGTTGGACCATGTTGTACCTCTAAGATATTCTAAGATCCTTTTGATTTTCCTGAAGGACTCCCGGATTTGTCGTTAAGCAGAGCCTGAGGATTGCTGTTGCAAACTGATCGAGGGATTGGAGTCATCGTGGGAGGAGAGCTGTTTTTGCCTTTGATCCAGTTTGCAAATCTAACAGTGGACTATGACATAAGTGACATAAGCGACTAGCTTCCTGTTCATTGTAGTTCATTGATATACCAACTGATTTTCCTTAATCTTCATTCATAAATATTCATGGCATGTTGACCCCTACACACATCTCTGTGGCCACAGTGTTTTGATGTTGCTGAACTGCATTCACCTGTACAGCTGCAGGAATATCAAACTTCACCCGAAGGTTTGGGAAACTTCGACGATACCCAAGAGTGGATGCCGCAACTCGTTCAGCAAAAAACGGTTATCCGAAGTCTTTCAGATTTGTAAAGCATTTGTAAAGCTAAACTAAGTTAAAGCTAAACTGAGTTGATCTAAGTTGATCTAAGTTGATCTAAACTGATCTAAACTGTTCTGTCGCTGGAAAAGATCAGGCACGATCTTCCAGCTCCAGCCATCCTGGAAGAGATCCAGAAAAGTTCAGCACTGAGCTGTGCGATCAGGTCATCTCAGGTCATCTCAGGTCATCTCAACGGACCGCCCAGTTTATTGATGTTGATTTTGGGGCGGAGGTCATAGTCATAGTCCATAGTTTAATGGTCCATAGTCCATAATAGTCCATAATAGTCCATAATAGTCCATAATAGTCCATAATAGTCCATAATAGTCCATAATAGTCCATAATAGTCCATAATAGTCCATAATAGTCCATAGTCATAGTCCATATAGCATTTGTCATATCGAGTCATATCCGAAGGTTTCTGATCCCTCACCCAAGCACCCAAGTCCTTGAGGCGACGACTCACGGAAAGTCTCCAAGGACCATGCCAACTACGCCGCTCAGCTCCACCGGCTCTCAGCGTCTTCACAGACCCCTGTATTCTTGCCGCTGAACTTAGGCCTTCTCTATAGCTGCAATGGTTGGCATCCACGTAAGCGTGGCTCCTTTGGCGATGTTTACATTACGATGTTTCCATATTATGTTTCCATTAAGCAATTACATCATGTAATTACATTATGTATTATATTGCATTGCTTCATATTAATTCCATGTTTGCGTGGCCTTGATGACTTCGGTGAAGTTAGTTGTTTTTGTGGATGGTGTGCTCCCTGCGCCCCTGAGCCAGAGAATACTGAACCATCCTGAACCTATTCTGCGATGTTCTGAGGGTTCTGCCATGTTTGGTTCAACTTTGCCAGAATATTGAATTGTTCTGTATTTATTTATAGCATATGATAATATATGCTTACACACGCGCACGCACACACACATATTATGTATGTATATATGTACGTACATACACACCGTGTCACATGCTTGTTTTCCTTGAACCCTTGGGTGATCTTGGGTGCCTCTAGTGCAGTTTGGCCATGAAATTGCTTAAAAAACCTTGGCAACAAGCTCTGCGTGACAGGTTTGCTCTGATCTTATCATGACCTGGGCAAATGAAGCTGCTGGTAGTGAAGAAGCCTGTGCGGAAGCATTCCATCAGCGCCTGCCTTGGTGACCTGGCCTGCATTGTACTTTAAATCGCTAGGCCACTAAGTCACTAGGCATCATTTGGATCCATTTGGCAGAACTTGGCTCTTGATTCCTGATCCCTTGGGGCAGTTATGACCAGTGCTGAGCAGTTGGATGAGTGGCCGAAATGGAAATCAGACCTCTTCGGACATGTTCTTCAAGTACATGAATCTAAAGCGACATTGCAACTTTTTTTTTCTCCATGGTTTTGGTGCACTGGGTTGGTGTTTTGTTGCGAGGCTGGACTTCGAAACCTGTATCCAGGAGCAGGTCCGCCTTTTTCCTGTGCCGCCAATTGGATCGGCTTACAGCCCACAGACATGCCACCTGGCTCCGAAGGTCAAATAATGTCAAATAATGTCAAATAATGTCAAATAATGTCAAATATATTCAAATATCATCAAATAGGAAAAAACATGTGAGTTCATGCTAACACATTCTCAATATATTTGGGACTGAGAAGAAATAGAGAGAGAGAGAGACATCATCTTAAATCAAGATGCTGAGTGACAAGCCCCCTTGCTACACCTAGCTCAGGTCTCGACAAGACCTTTTTCATCGAGGAGTTTGCTCCACGTTTATTCTCCGAAGTTCGCCGCCACATGTCCAGATTGGACCAATGAGTGGATCTTACGGCAAACTGTTCACGGCTATCGAGGAACTATGAGGAACTTAAACTTGTGGAATCTTGTGGATCTGGCGCCGAGGATACTCTGGCATCTCCAGTGCAGCCTACTTTGACTCAGTTTGCCGTACAGACTTCGAGTTTATTGCGCCGCCTGGCTTGAGTGACGTCACATCTGCACACATGGGGCGCAGGTGAGACGCGTAAAGCTTATCCAACCAAGGTTCGGCACGAACTCAAAAAGTGGCGAATTGTTCTTCTTTACATACGACCATCAGCATCCTGGCCTGCATAGCAATCGGTTTCACAATCCAACCAGTGGCATCGTTGAACCCCACAGAAGCAAATGCGGCAGCACACTGTCGTAGCTGTCGTAGCTCAGACAGATTCAGACGTCAGGTATCTTATCAAGACAACATCTGAGATGGAGGCCAGGGCCGCCAGCCTTCAGGGCCTTGTCACGGGGGCACGAAGTAGCAAAGACTTTCCTGATTTTTCCTGCACCGGTCAATTGATAGAGCTGGATCACCAGCACACGTCTTGCTACATCTTGCTACCCTAGAAGATCCTAGAAGCTATTGGCGGTAGGTTTCCCATGTTTAGCGCCCCCTTTGCTTGACACTTGTTGGAAAGTTCCAGCCAAAGCTACAGATTGTGTCAGGCGCAGACTTTGGTCCGAATGTTGCCCAGCTACCTAGACAGGCCTGCAAAGATGCGACAGTTTGCAGACATTTCGCTTCAAGTCACTTCTCTTTTGAGTGCAAGGCTGCAGCAAGAACCCCGGAGTTTGCTGGGCCGATATCTGGGGCTGTACCGAGTTTCTGTGCTGAATTTGGGGAAGTGATGCAGACACATAAATGGCTTACTGTAGGGGAGACGAGAGCATGATGAGTATTGAGCAGACTGCCAGCTGAATTCGAGCTTCAGGAAAAGTAGGAGGAGGATCTGAATCCAATGCACATTTATATACATTTATTAGATCCATTGATTGCTTATTCATTCAATTTTATTCATAGATTCATATTTTGGGGTGTAACACAGTACGGGTTTCTGTTTAGTTTGGAATCTTGGGTGTCCTGGGGACTTTGGCATTCGATTCAACCATTGATGTTCAGGTCCACATGGAAGGCGATCAGTCCAAACTGTTCTTTGTCATGCGCTCTGTCACCGCGTGCCTGCCTTAAAAGCCTCAGTGGAAATAATTGGAAAGATGATGAAGCATGTCAATACAGATCCACCTGGCAATCAAAGGATAGACGCAAACTGAGGCACAACCTGGGTATTTCCCACACGTTTCTTGGCTGAGCAATGGCATTCCGAGTTTGAACTTCTAAGCGGTTTGCATGAAGTCGCCGCACCATCCATGCCATCACAAGATTGCAGTCACATATTCTACATCATTCTGCTGGCTGCAGGGAAGAAATTCAGCTGAGTCTAGTCAAACTCAACATGTTTGCACAGTCCATGAAAATTTGAGGAGGATGGCGGTGTGTGCAGGTACGACATCAAGGGCAGCGTACGGAACCGCAAAGCAGAGTCACATGATTCTGTGGGGAAGGACTTGAACTTTGATGAGGAGCCATTCATTCAGAAATGTCGCGAGAAATACAGGGAAGTCTTTTTTTTGCGTATACTGTGCGCATTCAAATACATAATTAAATACCCACACACGCATACGTATATATATATAGAGATAAATATAGATAAATATAGATATGCATACACAATATATTTACATATCAAGTACAATTATAAAATATATACACATATAATATATACACAGTTAATCACAGTTATGTGATGTTCTGTGCGGTGTCACCAGATGTCGTGTTCGTGGCGAAGGAGATGGGCACCTCTTTGCAGCTGCCGCCTGAGGTGGCTGCCGAGGTGCCAGCTCCCCCTACCATGTGCAAAATTAGACTAACAAAATCTAATAGATACTGTAGATATTTGTAGATATTGTAGATCTAGATGTAGATATATAATTATATAATATTATATAATATGTACTTGAAGATCTTGAAGCATGCACACCAATTTTATCCAAAACATGCCGTGTACATGAGCTAAACGTGGCTAAGTTGCAAGGTTTTGCACTTGCCATGACCATGTTGGCTAGGTGGCTGAGGTCCACGAGATGGATTTGGAATTGCTCCAGGAAATTGGATCACGGGATGTCAAGATTGTCAAATTGCTATGAGTTTGATCCAAATGGCATGGATAAGTTGCAGATTTGTATTGCATGGATGCATTCCCTTCACAGCATTTCATGGCTGTCGTAAACGCACAGCGGGAAATGCCAGCGGGCAGGAGTTCCGAATCATGGACTTCTCGCTGTTGTTGCAGCTACTTGGAGAAATCAGATTCTGAAACCGCTGAACTGCAGCAGCACAGCAGTGGATTGCACTTGTCCTCCATCATAGAACTTTGATGAATTCTTGAGAATGGCTTGCTTTCAGCTTTCACCTCACAATCATCCAAGGATTCATGATACGTCTGGAACTTTTCGGGATATCAAACCTTCTTGCAGTGTGCCTTGCCTCAACGTTATTGGCAGAACTGCCTCACTAAGCGCAGCCTGTGACCCGCTGGAAGGTTATGCTCAAGACGAGGGCAAAACGCTCGTGGCGATACGGGCTACCCCTTCTCAAATTGTCGTTTCGGAAGAAGCGAAGTTCAAGGCGTTTGAGCCACAGCTGCAGTATGAACTACTGTAGGTTAAACTTGCCATGTTTTGTGCTGAAATGTGATTTGGCCAATTGTTCTGTTTGCTGTTGTAGATATGTGTAGACAGTAATGGCTGTTCATGCGTCCAAGGAAACCTACCGTAGCATCGTGTTCATGTGATGAGAATGCTCAAGTTGCTCAAGCTGGAGGACACGAGGCCTGGCAGTCCCAGGTCCCGTGAGCATCAGGCTGTGTATTTGTCATTTGCCATTAACCTGTCCCTGCAAGTTGTATGATTGCAATTATAACTATTCAATTGATATCAACTGATTGTGATGATATAACATGATGATGATCGACCACAAGACTACGCACACACACACACATGCTGAGACGCGGCGTGTCACGGCACATATACTTTTGCAATCATGTGCATACGTAATTAATTATGTGATTACACACGTATATATACGACGCACGTTGAATGTGGTAAAGCTTTTGGACAATTCTACCACAACCTTGTCTTCATCTGCCTGAGCAGGTGAAAGTGCGAGCCGGGTCTCAGGCGGGTGCTTGGACTCGCCAAGGTGGGGTGACAGATGGGACCTTCCAAACTCTCACCAAGACTTCTAAGAAATAGCAGCATCAAGAGAAAACAGGACATACTGTACCTGCGGTACCCAATGTGCTACTCTCCTCGCCAAGCCACTTAGAGGTGCCTTATGTTGTCTTTTTTCCCCCCAACCAACAGTACACAACACGTCCCATGTCAGGCACTCTTTCAACTTTGCACAGCAGCTTCACTCCGACGCGACAAAGCTGGATGCCGAACAACGGCACTTTGATCCGGAAGGATGGCACCATGGTGCCGGAGCCTCAGACCACCCTGAGTCATTGTGCCAAGACTTAGTGGATATTTTTGGACCATTTTTAGATATTTTGGGACCATTTTGGATTGTGCCAGTTGTCATTTGATTGTCATCCCATTGTTGCGGAATGTTGCAAGATGTTGTAAGAAGTAGACTGCCCGTGACTGCAAGGTACACCATGGGACTGATCGACATGTTGGTCCCCTTCACAGCGCATCTTGACCTTGTGATCGATGCTTTGTATTCCTGTTGGTTTGTTGGCACATTCCCATGGCCGAAGAGTTTCAAGATGTTCCAAGGTACCCCAAAATGCAATATGTTGGGATGGAGTTCCTCACCTGTGGCCGTGGAACCGAAAGCAGCCGGGTACCGCCTGATTTCTACTGCGCCTTGGGCTCCAATTAGCTTCGTTTGACGGCCAACTGCTCTGTGACGTTCCGCATCCAAGGGCCGGATCCTTGTTGTGCAGCTGTGAGGTGAGAGACAGATCGAGAAGGTCCACACCATGTGCGATCAGGAGACACTGGAGACTGCGTTGCCACATCAACATGCATCAATTGTTGTGACAACTGTTGTGGCAATTTTCAGTTTGATCAGGAGTCGCCCTTCGAGGACTGAGCAAGATGCAGCAAAACCATTGCGGCCAAAAGGCTGCAAACACTGTTTTATTGACTGCTATGTATCCAATTATATAAGCATGTGAATGTAACGGGATGTATATGATGCTATATACTTATGCAATCTTATGTCAGAATATAAAGTTACTATTGATGGGTTGTGAGCTTACAATTACGTGTCGCAGACCAAACAGTCCATAAGCTATAAACATTATTATGGTAGGTTGATAGACTGATCGATTCGGGTAGAGTAGATTAGACCAAATTACAGCAACATTTCGGCATGTTACGATTACGATGTCCCACACAGTGCATTTAAATTTCATGAAGCATTCCCTTCAGGCTAGAGTCGGACGGTTGATTGGCAATCTGACATGCACATGTTGATTGATTTTAAAGCCTACAGCGCAGTGGATGTAATGTATATGTGATGTTGGTGTAACCTAAACATACCTAAACGCGGGCCAGAAGGTGGGTCGTCCACTTGGAAAACAGGAGTTGATCATTACAATCAACTGGTCCTGCCATGAGTCACACATAGTCACACTGTGCAGACTTCCAAATCTCCCAGTCAATGATGCGGGACAAGGAGCCCCATGGAAGTCCCCATCGAGTGTCTTATATCCGCGGAGAATTCCTCATCGTTGCAAAGAAGGGCCTAGGGCAATCGCACCACATGGACCATACGTTTGTCAATGTTTGTCATATGCCATTTTGGCCCAAGCGGAAAACTCAGAGCATATATCACATTGACGGGCTGCAAAAATGGCAGGCGGGATCTCACCAGGGACCTTTGGAATACCGGAGATCTTTAGAGTTGACTGAGTGGAGTGGATGCAATCCATTGCTGCTCGACAGGTGAGGCACCAAAGGCTGCGGGCCAGCTGCCCGGGACCAACATACTTTCTGCATGTCTTTGGACGTTATAGGTTTGGGAAGGTCAAACAGTGTAGGGTCCCTCCAAAATAGTTGGCCAAGGATGGCCCTTTTGATTGCCTTTTAGAGTACCATAGAGTACCTCATGCCTTGATGCCTAGGATCTTTTTACCAGTCCAGCTTGAATGAATTGAGTCGTCCGTTCTCCAGTCCTATGCTTCTGATATCTTCTGATGTCTTCTGATATGTGATTTCAGTTTAATCTTAGTTGCAGAAGGAACCCGAAAAATCCTGAAAATCACATAAGATCAAGTTGAAACCGCAAGTCTGTGGTACGATATTGTACGATGGATGCCAGTCGAAGAAGACGGTCAAGAAGAGCAAGCAGCCCGTGCGCTTGTATGCCAAGGGTGTCATCTTGGGCTGCTTGATTGAGCACAGTTGATTGATCTCATGGCACTTTCCAGCACATCAATCTCTACAGCTTTCTGCGCCTCGGAGACTGAGGCTACAAGCGCAGCAAGTCCAACTGCTACGCCAACTGCACCCTGCTGAAGATCGACGGTGTTCGCACCAAGGTCTTTCTTTGCAAGCACACAATCATACATTTCCAATCATTTCCAATCATTTCCAATCATTTCCAGACATTTCCGTATTGCCACGAAGACCTTGCTGCTTTTCACTTCAGCTCTATATAGGATTCGGACTCCGCGAGGCTTTGTTCTGACTCTGGGGTTGGTCGATTTTCCAGGCGGACACGCAGTTCTACGTTGGAAAGCGGGTCGCATATGTCTACAAGGCCACTTTGAAATATTTGACATCCCAGGAAGCAAAGATTGGAATGCTTAGATTAGATCCGCCAAAATAATCCAAAATAATCGCGAGCACATGTCTGCATTACCATGCGTAGCAGCAGCTGCAAACAATGCCATTGCACGACAATAGTTGCAAATAGTTGCACCCACACACACACACACAAAAAAAGAAACAATAATGACATATGATATCATATAATGACACTATAATGACACTATAATGCATTAAGGTCTTCTAGGTAATTTATAACGACCTCACTGCGACCTCACTGGAATCATGGTCAGTAAGAGGAACCATCCTCAAATAGCATTTCAGATTAACGAAATATTACAATTTAACCAGGGATACCCAGGGCCTTGCCAGAAGAATGCGTTGTTACTCTCCCAAGCAAGGCCAAGAAGGAGATCCAGAACAGCAAGTTCAGAGTGATGTGGGGCAAGGCCTTGAGACGCGCGTTCCCCCCCTCCACCATTCAAGTTCAAAATAGTGAAACATCCTCTCTCTCTCTAATATACAGTAATATTATATAATCGATATCGAGAGTATATATATTTTTGTATATATATATGCACATGAAACCTACACAGTCATTATACATAAATCCATCCTGATTAATCCATCATGCCATCGAATCCAGGTTAACAGCGAGCACAGGCGTTTCGCAAAGCTTTCACCGCTGTCAAACATGTGTGGCAGTCCAGGTGCGACGGTCCCACGGCAATTCTGGTGTGGTGCGGGCGAAGTTCTCCAAGAACATTCCTCCCAAGGTGCGTTTGGAGCACCTGTATGCACCTGTCATTATTGCGCAGAAATCCACACGTTTGCCCAGACTTCACGCCTGTCGCACGAAATTTGCCTCTCTTACAAAACACAGGGCCATTGGCGGAGACTCATTTGATCCTATATGCATCAACCACTTTCAGGGTGGCTGCTTTAGGTCAAACAAATTGTTGACAATTGAAAACCCGTCGGCCAGTTGGTACAAGATCATCAAATTATTGAGTAATAATAATATATAATGATAATAGTTTTCAATACATACATACATACATACATACATACATACATACATACACACATACATGTACGTACGTACGTACACACACACACACATATATATATATGTACGTATGTATACATATATATATTATATACATTATATTGCATGATTATATGTGAAAAGCGAGGTGGCAGATTAGAGCTCGTATCACTTGGGGCATCGCACATTTCCAACATGCAGCAAATTCCATGTTGCCTCTTGGGCGAACGTTTGGACCATACTCATTGTCTAAACTGTGTACAATACAGACAGAGTTGGACAGATCTGCCCCTTGTGGGCATGCAACGCAGGATATGAAAGTGAAAGTGATCATTAATCATTATTTCGTCATTATTAATGACATTAATGATCATAACATTGATGTCAGTATTATATAATAGTAATGCATGCACCTTACAGATCCTTACAGATCCTTCTGCCACTTTTGGACATCTTGTAGCCATATTGACAGGCTTTCGGCGCTGCCTGCCGAGTGATGCTGTATCCAAGTCCCTTGGCATTTGACGCCAGTAAGGTCGGTGCGCTTTGTTCATGTTTGTTCAATTGGATGGATTCCTTGGACTGAGGCAGCATCTGAGAATGCCCTGCGATGATAGTTGCTCTGTGTGCAAAAATCTCCAACTGCTCGGTTTGTCGAAGTCTTTTTGCCACCGCTAGCTGGGTATTGGCAATGCGGCCAACCTGAGATCACCTTGAGCTGCTCAAGTCCCGTCAGGCATTTTGAATTCTTCAAGTTTAAGCGCCGCACAATGATTTTTCAATCAAAAGACCCCGCAAGATGGCTGATGACTTCCGTGTGTATTGTTCTAAAGCATGTAGCTAGCGCAGCATCCCTTGCGATAAAGGACTCTACCTCTAGAATGTCTGAGCCTTTCTGAACGGATCGACTACAGATGACACTCACGACATCACCCTGGATGGATGTCGTTTTGGCTCCAGTGGGTGCCGGTCTTGGTTCCTTCTTGGTTCCTTCTCCGTTGATTCGCCTGGCTCGCGCAGCTTGACGTGAGGCTGAGACATGTTAAGACGAGCCTTATTCGAATGCTGTGTGCCTGGAAATACATACAATTAGTCTTCGACAGATTCGACAGTTCCCCATGTAGTAAGTAGATCCAAGTCCAACCATACCAAACCATCATCGCATGCATCTGAGTTGGAATCAGACAGAGCCAGAACATGCCAGACATGTAATTCCAACATGCAATGCTGGATTCTGAAAGATGTTGAAAGATGTTGAAGGGATGATGTGATGGATTTCAATTTGAAGCGATTCTCCAGGCTGTATTTGCAGGCCAGGGCTGGATATGTCGATGATACTCGCTGCAGCATACTGCAGCGAGGCATTCAAGCCAGCATGCTTTGTTGACCGAAATTGTCTGGATTTAGTCTTGTAATATCTTGTTATAGTTTTTTGAAATAGTTTTGAAATACATAGCATAGCTTTGTTTGGACGCTTTTTGCCAATCTTTTCATTCTGTGCGGCCTCGTTTTGGGTGTCAGGGCACCGTCAAGCCACCATTGCACTCGTCATTTGGATCTGTTTGGCTCAAGCTGATTGCTCGATTGTCATTCTTGGGCCAGTCCTTCTGAAAAGAGTGCCTCAGTCGCAAAGTCTGGTGAATCAACATGGATCACATGATAGTCTTTGCTTGCTTTATCCTCAAAAATCAGTGTGGAATATTGAGAAACCATCTATATACCACTGTTTATGTCTACGTAAGTATATATATATATTATAGAAGTGTCACATCCGCTTTAGCTTTGAATTTGCAGCTGTTGGGCAAATCGTTGGAAGCGCCAGCAGAAAAAAATTGTCACACCTCAGCATTGAACATATGATTGAATATCATAGACATCATATGCCTTTCATGACCTGTCGGCGCCTGTCGGCAAGGCTTTTTGGAGAATGGCTGAGGAGGCAAAGGTCGAAGAGAAGGACAACTTCGATGTGGGTCCGCTGTGGTGGTCTCAGGAATCAACTGTATCCAATCATTGGTATGATTGATGTTGATGTGGGTTGATGTTGGATGTTGGTTTCTTTAGCATCGCTGCATCCGAATTCATCCGAATTCGACTTGGATCTAATTGGTATTGGAAGTCTTCGAATGTGTTGGAACATGTTGGAATGACCATATTCAGCAGATGTCAAGAGGCTGCACAATGAAGTTTCAAATGCCTCGAGCAGTTTTGGGAGAGGTTTGTTTTCCGCCATGGGCTGTGGCTCGGATTGCAACCAAGCCACCCTTGGCTGGTGCCGACACCACCTAAACATCCAAAGAACATGCTTGTGCATGAAGAGCCGGTGGGCTGCATGTTTCCGATAGAAAGATTTTGATCGTGATTTGAACACTGACTTCGCCAGCAGGGTGTAGTAAGCCACACTTTTTCCCTCTAGGCACTCAGTCATGCAGGCTGTCACACTGCATTGTGTGCTAGTGTTGCTAGGTTTCAAATCTGACACACAAACCAGGACAGGAGAAGGCACTAGAATCAGCACGATCAGCATTCCTCAAGTCAAATTGAAACCGCGCCTGTAGTTTCAGCATGTTTCAGCCCACAAGAGGAACAAGAGGATCAAGAGGAGAGATGCAGATGCATGCTGCAAATGCATGCTGCATAAGTAGTCCAATATCCCATGGACGTAGCATGAAGTAGCACCTTGCAGATCTTGTAGAATCTAGCCATCCTAGCCTGTGCATGCCTGTGCCATGTGGGCAGAAGTATGTTCCGATGCAGGATTTGGATTGCAGGAGCGTGGATTTTGGGTCAGGGATCATGCAGTCTCAGAGGATGTTGCCGCAGAGGTGAGGGAAGAGATCCTCAAGTGCCACGAGGAAGGCCTGTTAAGCCAAAGCGGCAACAAATTGGCTGTTCGCTTGCCCGATGGCAACCGTGGTGGAAGTGTGTGCCAGAAGCGCAACGTTTTTGAGGCAGACCTCATCGTTGATGGAGCTGTGAATTGCCCAGAAGTTTTGGAGAAAAGCCCTGTGTTGGCAGCACTTCTGGCCCAAGAAGGGCAGCTTCGAAAGGCTTTTGGCAACTTGGGACAGTGGCTTCGCATTGATCGACTCGAACAAGCAAAAGTGCAGGTGAACACTAGCAGTGGTGGTGCCTTTCCATGTCATTTTGATTTGCCAAGTCAAAGTGGTCAAGGGGCGAAGCGACTTCTGACAGTGTTGCTGTACTTAAATCCACAATGGGTTGATGGTAATGGCGGGGAGGTTGAGGTTCTACCCTTCCCGTTTGCCAATACAGTCCTTCCGCCCTTGAACAGACGTTTTGTGGCATTCTCCTCGTGTACCACGCTTCATCGGGTGCGGCCTTTTTTTGGAACGAACCGAGTTTGTTTGAACCTGTGGTTCGAAGGAGAAGCAGAGATACCGTTTCCAGCACCTTTGGAGGCAGATCGTTTTGACCACCGTGTTTGCAACATTGTCAGGATTCTCCGACAACGCCCTGCTGAGCTGCGAGCATTCTGCAAAGTTTGGTACAGTGACACTATGGTCCAGTCATTGCGAGATGCGTTTGAGGAATGTCAGGCCTGTCGGGGTTTCATTTCCAAACTGAAAGCACAGCGGTCAAGGGATGACAAAACAACATGTCTGACAATACAGGACCATACAGGACCATACAGGACCTTACGGGACCCAAGTTCTGGGATGTCAGAATCAGTCAAGTGCAAAGGCAGATCATATTCTGGTTTCTCTCACGTTGAGCAGAACTGCTTTTGTTTATGAGGTCACCCATTTTAGTTATTTCAGGGAGAAACTTGGCTGCCCACCCCGCGCCTCTATGGCACACAGACTCTGTATGCTGACAACTACTAGTAACTAGTACATGGGGATGGGTGATGCATCCCAGATGCCAGCCGTCTCCAATAATCTCTCATAATCTCTAGTCAAGATAGTCAAGTCATCTCTAGTCATCTCTATTCAGTGGGCCACTAAAGTACTTGTTAGCCAGCAACGCAGAGCCGAACCGCACAATGTATTATATCTACATTGTTAGATAATATCTTTATATGATCTTATATGATAATATCTTTATATGATATTATATGATTATATGATTATGATTAGATAATGTTATGATTATGATTATAGGATATTATAGGTGATATATATATATATATACTTGTATATTTGACGTCGAAGGAGAGATGACCTGATCTATTTGCTCTTGTCAGGATCTTGATGCAGCAATAGATCTCCACGTGGAAGAGATGACTGCCATCCAATCGCGAATTGCGAAAACAACAATGGATGTGCTTGAAGAGTGTTTTCCCCTCAAGAACTTGCAGAGAGAGGAGGCAGAAGATGCTGAAGCTGCAGAACTTGTCGATCTATTTGATGGTCTTTGAAGGTTTCAAACCTATGATCGAACCGAGTCAGTGTACAGCAATATCCCGTTGCGACAAGCGTTGCTGACCCCGTGGCTTTACCCGCTCCCACCATTTGCACATTGTCTCAGAGGGTCACAGACTCCCTGCAAGTAGCCAGAGAGTAGCCAGGGTCCCAGGGACACCTGGCGTCAAAGGCAAAGGTAGGCCATCTAGGGCACAGAGTTTCATCTGATGATGATGATGGATCAGACAACTGTTCCAGGAGTCGTGCAGCAGGGAGAAAAGCTGCAGGGTGACGGGTGGCCATGCCTGGGAAAATACTCAATGCTTACTCAAAGCTTCAAATTGCAGTGCAGCGCCTTGCAGAAAGGCATGCACAACACTGTGCATGTGCATGCTGGAACTTGTAGTTCGTGCAAGGCTATTGACATTCATGCTGAATACATCTTAATACTCCTCAGCCTCCAGAGACATCCCCTTGCCTTTGCAAGCCTCTGAGGTCTGTTTTGCAGAAGTGCGTCAAGGATAATTCTCAGGCGCTTTGGAGAATTATATATTATATATAATTATATACACATGTAAGAGCAAAGAAATCCAATAAAAAGTGTCATCATGGCAAGGTAATATGTCCCATGACGAATCATGAGGAGACATTGAGACATGATGACCTGATGAAACGAGACATGTCGAGGTGCTGATCAACTGCCGCAACAACCGCAAGATCTTGGCCCGCGTCAAAGCCTTCGATCGCCACTCCAATATGGTCTTGGAGAACGTGAGGCATGGCATGGCTAGGGCCTAGGGCCTAGGGCCTAGGATAGATTGGCAGACTTTGGTAGAGATTTCCATTGAATTCCCTTGGGATTCCTGTTAGATTCCCATTGGATCCCCATTGTGATCTCTTTGCTTCTTTGGCCTTGCACTTGCTTTCGCTGGGACAGATCTGCCATCATGCTAAAGGGTGCTTTATTTTATTTTCTTTTGCATTCTTTTACGTTATGAATATGAAGCATTTTATATATTTTTAATATCATAACTAATAGCAATCAACTCAGTGTTTAAATTTCCGGCTGCTTGCAAAACAAGCAAAGCCTCACATTCCTTCATGACATTAACATGTCAACGCTTCTCGGACCCGTTTGCATCCTGAGCAATTTAACCAAGTTGCTCAAATTCTGACCTCCTGCTTGCAGGGAAATGTGGACCGAAGTGCCGCATCCTGCCTGAAATTTATAGAGCAAATGATGGTATGCTGAGATTGGAGGATATTGGATGGGTCTCAGACTGTCAGACCGACTTCTTGTAGGCACGGTGGGAAGAAGAAGGCAAAGCCCGTGAACAAAGACCGCCCCCGGTCTGCACCAACTTGAGCTCTTGGAAGGGATCCATGGAAGAACTGCGTTGCACACATTGGGATGTGTTGACAGATGTTGACCGTGATTAATGTTAGCCACCGATTAGTGTCATGGTACCCTATTGTGAGAATTTTTTGCTTCCTACTTGAGTATCTTGGTGATTGTGGGGGGGGAGCCTCTATTGTGAGATTTTTTTTTCAGATCCAATTTTTCCGGGAAGAGCTTTATCCACCTTTATAGACATGTTTTTAGGTAAAGCTGGTCCATATATATATATATGATATATGTATATACTTTAGAAGGCCATGTCCATGTTAAAGCCTTGAAAAGGCAAGGTTTCCCAAATAATTAGATGCATTATTAAATCCTTATTAAAAAACAGCACCCAGACAATTTTTCAAGGGGGTACCCCATGAGTGACCGAGATCCTCAAGAATGTAATTGTTTGGATGGTACCCTATTGTGCACAACAACTTTTGGGGTGAAAAAAAGCACAAAACCTTTTGCCCACCTTTCTTTGGGTAAAGCTGGTCCATTTACTTTAGAAAGCCATATCCATGTTAAAGGCTTGAAAATGCAAGGATTCCCAAATAATTAGATGCCTTATTAAATCCTTATTAAAAAAAACAGCACCCAAACAATTTTTCAAGGGGGTACCCCATGAGTGACCGAGATCCTCAAGAATGTAATTGTTTGGATGGTACCCTATTGTGCACAACAACCTTTGGGGTGAAAAAAAAAACACAAAACCTTTTGCCCACCTTTCTTTGGGTAAAGCTGGTCCATTTACTTTAGAAAGCCATATCCATGTTAAAACCTTGAAAATGCAAGGATTCCCAAAAAATCAGATGCCTTATTAAACCCTTATTAAAAAACAGCACCCAAACAATTTTTCAAGGGGGTACCCCATGAGTGACCGAGATCCTCAAGAATGTAATTGTTTGGATGGTACCCTATTGTGCACAACAACTTTTTGTTTTTTTGTTTTTTGATTTGAAAGGAAAATCAGTTGAAAGTAGATTCAAATGAATTGAAAGTAAATTGGTGTCAATTTAAAGCCTTTATCAATAGATTTCTTTGAGCTTTAAAAGGAAAATCAATTGAACGTAGATTCAAATGAATTGAAAGCAAACTGATTTCAGTTGAAATCAGTAAACTGATTTCCATTGAAATCCTTTCTTAGCAAGATATATTTTTGATGTTTAAAAGGAAAATCAATTGAACGTAGATTCAAATGAACTGAAAGTAACTTGATTTCAATTGAAATCCTTTCTTGTCAATAGATTTCTTTGAGGTTTAAATGGCAAATCAATTAAAAGTAGATTCAAATGAATTGAAAGTAAATTGATTTCAATTGAAATCCCTTTCTTATCAATAGATTTCTTCGAGGTTCAAAAAGGAAAACCAATTGAACGTAGATTGATTTCAATCTAAAGCCTTTATCCATAGATTTATTTGAGGTTTAAAAGGAAAATCACTTGAAAGTAGATTCAAATGAATTGACAGTACTTTGATTTCAATTGAAATCACTTTCTTATCAATAGATTTCTTTGAGGTTTAAAAGGAAAATCACTTGAAAGTAGATTCAAATGAATTGACAGTACTTTGATTTCAATTGAAATCACTTTCTTATCAATAGATTTCTTCGAGGTTTAAAAGGAAAATCAATTGAACGTAGATTCAAATGAACTGAAAGTAACTTGATTTCAATTGAAATCCTTTCTTGTCAATAGATTTCTTTGAGGTTTAAATGGAAAATCAATTGAACGTAGATTCAAATGAACTGAAAGTAACTTGATTTCAATTGAAATCCTTTCTTGTCAATAGATTTCTTTGAGGTTTAAATGGAAAATCAATTGAACGTAAATTGATTTCAATTGAAATCCTTACTTAAGTTGACTACCCTAAAAATTGTTGAGGGGGGGGCGCAGAAAATTGCGAGTTATTGAGTATACTAAAATTGTTTGAGGGGGGGGCACCACACTTATTTTTGCGCCCAACATGATCCGGGATTTCTTTTTTGCCTTTTTTTCCTTTTGCATTTCTTCTTTGAGGCTTTATTAGCAAGATGTTCTTGCGTGGTGACTCCGTGACTCTGCAGCATTGGAGCGTTAAAAGAAGACTGGGCCCTGGGAGATGGCCATTGGAATCGTTGGAACACGTCATATGCATAGCCGTAGTGTTTTACACACACACACGTTGTCTCGAGCATAAATGCATCGACACTGACAGGGTTACACATTGCATGCGCAGTATGATCATGTATGATCACAGTATGACTGGTTGGTGGTTTCAAACATTTTTTATTTTCCATACTATATGGATATATATGGGATAATCATCCCAACTGACTAATATTTTTCAGAGGGGTTGAAAACATTAACCAGATGATATACATTCTTACAAAATTGTTGTCGACCGAGTTGTCACGAGGTCATCCTTGTCCTGCGCAACCCCAAGTGAGAGTTTTGTGATGCGTGTGACATAGGTCACAACATGTCCAGCAATGTCCAGCAATGTCCAGAAGCATCAGCCAGCTCAGGCAGTTGCAAGCCATGCGATGATACAACTTGAAGTCTTTCACATCCATGTGTAACCTGCAATGTAGCAACAAGCTGCGGATAAACAGACCTGAAGGCTGCGTGATTCGGCACTTCATGGGGCAAATGTAGCGGTCTCCACCTGCAGGACTTATACCATAGAGCTGATGACATATCAGCCCAAAATATAAGTTCAGCAATCGGCTGTGACGTGCAGCAAGTCAACCTGACAGGGAGATGCAGGGCAAAACAATGCAAAACACATCGAAGTCGAGAAGCTGTGAATATGTTTGAAATATAATGAATATATATATATTATATTGTTTATAAAATGATTATAATATATTATAATGTTGGCAAGTCGTTTGACTTCAAGGTCTCGCATCCTCGTTGGGTTTCATTACGCAGCTGATCGTCTGACCTGTAAGTGGAAAAGGGATGAAAAGGGCAGAGCCTTCGGGTCAACAATGGCGAGTCGGAGCGTCGTGGAAAGTCTCACCGTTAGGATGACGTGTTGACCTGTCTCGTTTTGCAGCTCGCATAAGCTCGCATAAGCTCACAATTCCAAGTAGGAAGTGATCCATTTTGAAATTGTGGTCCAACATGGTCCAACTTGGATTTTAAGGTGGAAGACTTGTACGGTGCCTGACGTTGAGGTTTGGCTGGGGGTATCTCCTAGGAACAGACCTGCCCAGGCAATCGCAACATATCGCAACCTTTGCTGAGTCTTAGGCAGCTTCGGAAATGCTGTGGGGGCTGTGGGAGGTCCATGTGCTTTACAGATCACGAAAGGTAGCCTAGGCTACCTGAGTTCTATGTACTTTAGTACTAGTTTAGTACTGGGGGAGGTGGGTGCTCCTTTCCCGGAAATTGAGAGCCGAGAGTCACGAACGGAGACTTAGGGGGGGGGGGCCCCCCCCCCCATTCGATTCCCCCCTGGTCCGCATCTCTTTCTTTCTTTTTCTCTGACTATGTACTTACCTCCTTATCCATCTATCTATCCATGTATCTATCTATTTAGTTGTCTATCTATGTAATTATTTATTTATCTATCTATCCTTGTATGTATCTATCTATCTACCTATCGATCTATCTATCTATCTATCTATCTATCTTTTTATCGATCTATTTAGCTATCGATCTATCTATTTATCGATCGATGCTTCTATCTGTCTATCTATCTATCCATCTATTTGTTTATTTATCTATCTATCTATCTATCTCTATCTATATATCTATCATATATATACATACATACATACATGCATGCATACATACATACATGCATGCATGCATGCATGCATACATACATACATACACACAGACATACGCACATACATACATACATACATACATACATACACATACATACATACATACATACATACATACATACATACATACATACATACATACA